TACCATAACGATTACGGCGGCTGGCAAGGGGTCCCGGTCCCGAAAAAGAAATCTCCCGATTCTGCACGCCATGAACCCGCTCCGTGTTTTATGAGCCGTGGTTCGGATCATCGGGCGGCGCCCCGTGCCAAGCCGGGCCGCTACGTCCGGAGAAAGTGTCCGTGGGCCGTGCCCACGCGCCAGCGGCGCGCCGACCCCGCCGTGGCGGCCGGTTTCTCCGGGCGGAGCGAGGACTTGGCAGAGGTGAGCCGCTGACCCGGCCTGTCGCCAGTCAGCGTCGAGCCCGTGTGCGAGCGCCACCCGCGCCGGACGACCGGACAGCGAGCGCCCAGCAGCGGCGTCCGTCTGCGTGTGGAGGCGCCCCGAATCGCCGAGAAATCCGGCTGGGTCCTGTCGCGGTGGCCATGCCGCCTAACTCAGCGCGTTGCTCTGTGACGGTCTGGGCGTTGCTGCTGTCGGTGGCCGCAGTGCCGCCGGCGCACGGGCAGCGCGTGGTGGCCGGCGGCCGGCTCCTCTTCCCTGCCGCCGAGCCCGCCGCGCTGGCCCCCGCGCCCGCCAGCCTGGTCTTCACGCCGAGTCGGCAGGCGGCGTCGGCCGCGGCCGGCCGCCTGTCGCGCCTGCAGGCGTACCTGCGGGAGGTGCGCCTGCGGCAGGCGGCCGGCCACGCCTGGCAGGCGGAGCGCGCCGCCGCCGCCGTGCGCGCCGGCCTCGGGCGGCAGGGGCGCGTCGCAGCCGCCCTGCCGCCGGCCCGGCTCGGACCCCGCCCGCTGGTAGGGGTCCTGCCGGCCGGTGACGCTCCCAGCTCGCCGCTCACCGGCCGGGCCAGCATGGACTCCGTGGCGACGCGCCGGTCCGACGCCGGACTCGACCCGCCGGACTCGGCGGCGCCGAACGCGGACTCCGCGCCCAGCCAGACGCGACTGAGACTCGGCCTGCTGCGGGCGGCGGCGGGCGGAGCCGGCCCCGAGACCGCGGCTGGCGATGCTGCCCTCAGGATGCAGCTGCCGCTGGTCGGTGACGGATCTGTGGATCTCGTCGGACTTGGATCGGCGCAGGGCGGCTCACTGGAGCTGGACGGGCTCGACGATGCAGTTGGCAGTTTTGCTGACCTGGAGGAGCCGGCGGACGAGTGGTTGGATGACGCGGATGCGGTGCGCTCGGCGTATGCGCCGTCAGGTTATCGCACGGGTCGGAAGCTGGAGGATGCTGCTGCTTTCGCTCTGAATGAGGTGGAGACAGACGAGAGTGCATCCGAATACCTGGCGGAGCTGAAGAGGGTGGACAATGATCTGGTTTACCTGCCCGGGCTGAACGTGGTGGCCGGCGAACCAAAAACTCAGGGCGCGGATAATGGTGCGTCCACTGATGGCAAAATAGCAAAACTGGTATACGTCTATATCGTGGGAGCTGATGGAGGAATCATCGATCTGTACGCTCCAGACAGGACAGCTGAGCGTCTCAGCCGAGTAGAGGGAGTTGAGTATCCAGATATTAGCGACAGCGCTCGTGAGAATTTGAACGAAGCCGAAGTGAGATCAGCTGTGGACAGCACCGCTCAGGAATCTGAGAACGCGGGCGGCGCAGCTGCAGGAGAAACTGAGCTGGACAGCGCAGACGATACTGTGAATTTGGCCGCGTCAGGGGGCGGATACACGATTGTGGACAGTCTGCCTGACGCTAGTGTGGACGTGTCCACCGCCAGCGGTGGAGATGTGAGCCTGGGCGGGTCAGGCAGAGGTCACACAGACCCAGGCCGAGCCGACGCCTCTGCAGCCCTCACCACGACCGCCGACGGCTTCTACAACCCGGCCACCTCAGACAGCGGGTACCCAGACCTGGACACCAGCGGGGACTTCGCGCGCCTCGCCGCGGCGGCCGGAGGAGCTGAAGGCGCGGCCACGGCCGGCCGAGGGCCTGATCGGGCTCGAGGCGGCCGGGCAGTCCCGTTCGAGCGCGCCGCCGGAGAGCGCGGCATCTTCTTCTTTCCCGGAAACGTCATCCATTCGTTTGGCATCGAGCCAAGCTCGGCCGGTAAGGGGCACATCGGTTTGCATCACGCCGGGAGTGCGGATCCTGGAGCCTTTCACTCCATTCTCGTGCATGGTGAAACCGGCTCCTAGCTGCTGTGAAAAATCTTACTCATGCGCAGCTGTCATGTGACGGCTACTGTATCAATGAAATCCTTATCCTGATGACAACATCGGGGAGGTGAGATACCGAGCAAAACAGCACGTGCGTGTGGGTATCAGTGAAAATGTGTAGATGTTGTTTATTCACGTTACTAACGGCACCGTACAATAAGCCCATGCTTTTAAATGAGGGACCTCTCTCACAGGTGAGGGCGCTACTGTTCCGTTTTCACCAACTACGTGTCCGAATACCGGTGGAGTGGGTCACGGCCAGCTGGCGTCACTCCAGCGATATTGGGATTGCGCTGGTGCTGTCACCGCCGTGGCCTCAGTCCTGCCGGTGATGGTCTCCCAGCCGCGGACGGGTTGCTGTCCAGTCTGAGCAGTTATGTTCAACTGGTGTTAAGAGCCTCAGTGTCCCCAGGTCCGCCGGTGATGGTCTCCCAGCCACGGCCCGGCGTGCCGTCCAGTCTGAGCAGTTATGTTCAGCTGGTGTTAAGAGTCCTCCGTGTCCCCAAGTCCACCGGTGATGGTCTCCGGCCCAGGCGCTTGTGCCGTCCAGTCCGAGCAGTTATGTTCAACTGGTGTTAAGAGTCCTCTGTGTCCCCAGGTCCCAGCCACGGCCCGGCGTGCCGTCCAGTCTGAGCAGTTATGTTCAGCTGGTGTTAAGAGTCCTCCGTGTCCCCAAGTCCACCGGTGATGGTCTCCGGCCCAGGCGCTTGTGCCGTCCAGCCTGAGCAGTTATGTTCAACTGGTGTTAAGAGTCCTCTGTGTCCCCAGGTCCACCGGTGATGGTCTCCCAGCCACGGCCCGGCGTGCCGTCCAGCCTGAGCAGCGGCGTCAACCAGTCGACACCGATCGCTTCACTCCTGGCTTTGTCGCAGACCGAACAGCCTTCGACAGAGGCATCTATCGGCCAGTCTGGACAGCCTGTAGCAGCAGTCGCCTTCGGTCAGCGGCCGCTGATCCAGACTGAAGCCGGGGACAGGCTGGACTCGGTCGACCCGCTGCAGACCTCGGCTGGAACTCTGTCCAACTCGGTGACGCTGGCCGGCGCACCTCCAAGCCCCTCCGCAAGTCGCGCCCCCATTCTGTTCTTCGGGAGCTCCTCACAGCCCGTCCCACCCAGCGAGCCGTTCAAATTCACCCCATCTCGCTCGCAACCTCCGGCATCCGCCCCTGTCTTCCCGTCTTCGGCTCCGTCCGTCGACCCGCCGCCGCGCCCGTTCGTGTTCTCGCCGAGCCGGCCGGCACCTCCGCCGCCACCCCCGAGCCGGCCGGACCCGCCGCCGCCGCCGCCGCCCAGCCGGCCGACGGCGGCGGCGACCGTGGACGACGGCCGTTGCCAGCCGGAGCCGAACTGCGCACAGGTCAGCCGGCGGCGGCGGGGCTGCCGGGCCTCCGCTGACTGTCCGGCGCCGCAGCGCTGCTGCTACAGCGCCTGCCTGGGCGTCTCCGTGTGTCAGGAAGGCACGCACCGGGACCGTGTGGCGGCGCTCTCGGCGCTGGCCAAGGTCGTGCTGCCCTGACCGCCACCCGCGCCGCCGCTGCTCCGCCGGTGCCACCCGTGACGGACGTCTGTGCCGTGCGTGCGCTCGCGGAAGCGTCGACAGGGTGCAAACGTGGTAGGGCGCGGCGCGTCTTCCACACCGTTTGTGGACAAGAGGGTGCCGGCCTGCAACCACCGCCAGCTCATGAATATGCGGCGTCGACCGGCCTTACAGGCTGTTTGAAGTCGGTCATTGTCTCTCGGTGCACTGCACGTGAACGTATCTTTATGGCGGGCCTACGATTGTAAGCGGATCCTTAATGCGGCTGCTGCCACGGGATATGTGCGCACGATCAGGAATGCGGTCGAAATGATTTGTCTGAGAACGGATTGGACTTCATTACGAGCAGCCTTATGGTGAGGAATACCGCTCTCGCGCCGTTGCAGATTGCATGTGCGATGTTTGCACTTGTGTTGTGATACGAAGTCTCAGCTGTTGAACAGCTCATAGGCACTTTCCATGACGTTTATTTTATTCATGCGAAGCTTCCGACGTTAACGCTGGGTCGGGATGATCACTGTCAAAATGGCCCGAAGCCTCATTGAACACTGAACTGGAAATAGATGTGTTAAGTGATGGGTTCAGAGGTCTCGCAACACGCTCTGCGTAAGCCATCCAGGATTACTTTAAAACACCGTGTTCGTAATTACCACGCTGAGGGTGTAATTAGCCGTCCCGAACAGCTGAAACACTCAACGCTAAACGCATGGCGTTTGATCGACAGTGAGCAGTTTCATAGCCCACATGCACCATCCCATACTGACGGTAGGTTCTCAGCCTTCCTATGGGTTTCACTACGTCCGGTGACATCTTTAGCGACTGATCAGCATGGATGGCAGCAACTCAAGCCTGTGTGAGGGTATAGTTTCGTCACATCTGCATCCAATGACTCCAGTGTTCGTATCCCAGGCGGCAAGTACCTTTACCTAAAATGGTGACAGCACGATGCAATTGGGATGCATGACCAAATATTACCGAATCTTATGGCGAATACAACATTCCCTCGCTGCATCTTCGGTCTGCCCCGTGCTCATTTTTGTCAGATCATCATTGGCACCGGGAGTCTCTCAGCTTGATGAAGAGTATCGATTAGCGGGGTGCATAGCGTTGTCGTATGGCTACTAAAGCCACGACGACCGAGGGAACTGGCGAACGTTGTTACACCATATGCCGCTGCTGAGTAAAATCAAAACTAGAACACGGTCCGGCACCGTGTACCGTCTGGTCAATGATGGCGTCCGCACCATTCCGGGTGAGCGCGCAGAAACAAGACAAAGTCGTTTTCAGGTCCGGGTCGGCCGGTGCTCCTATTTGCATAGACTTCTCTGCAGCTGGGCTGTATTAGCTCAACACAGCGAACGACTGTTAATACTTTCCAACAGTTAGCCAGTGCCGGGCATCCGGAAACGACGCCTGACTGGCAGATCATTAGCGAAACGAAGCAAGCGCTCGACACGCCCCCCCCCCCCCCCCCTCGCGGCAGCACGCCGCCACTCCGGCCATCAGCGCCGCGCGCGCCCAGTCCCACACCGGAGCTGCGGTCCCTCGGCGGAGGTCCGCTCTCCCCGGGCGCCGCGCAGCACACCAGCAGTCCAGCACCAGAGATCCGGCAGGGCGAGGCGATAGCACTCCGCAGCGGTCCGGAGCGGCGGCTAGCCCTTGGTCTGCGTCTGTCGCAGCAGCTGCTGCAGCTTGCTCACCTCCTCCCGGCTGGCCTCCTGCTTGGCCTCCAGGTCCTTGAGCAGGTCGTCGTGCCGCTTCCTGCGCGGGGACACCACCAGCTGAATCATGGCTCAACACAGCGAACATGGAGTCATGGCCCGTGTTGCCCGACGACAGCACGGGCCGGCGCCACGCCAACAGTCCGCAAAACAAATAAGTTCTACGGCGCGCAGAACGGACACCGCGGTCTCGGCGTATGAGTGCGTAAATGGTGGTACATGACTCGGAACTGATGACCATGCATGTTATGCTGACGCTAAAATGCCACAAACACTTTAAGATGCAACGTTGTAGCAGCATGAATAGCGTCACAGCACAGCTTGGGCCAGGGACGTGAGAAGCCCACCAGTGGTACCATGCAAGACAGCTGGTTATTGCGCACAATACCCTTTAACTACGGGTTCATGCTTGCAACAATTCACACGGACGTGACATTTGCGAACCGGCAACAACGCCGATCCCAAAACAGCACTGTCCTGTTCTAAGCCTTATTTGCCACGTCAACTACGAGTTCGACGGAAACCGTACAGCTTAGGGCGCGTTCGGCCCGCAGCTAATTCCCGATAACTATCCGGATTGTTGGAAAATTATCCGGAATAGCGGTTGGCATTGGTATTGCGCACGAGGAGAATCTCGGATGATTTTTAGAGCATGGAAGCGTGGTATCTTCTAGAACGCCTGACCTTCGGCTATGATGCCGCATGCGGGTATTAGTCACGGACCTGCCCAGCATAAAGGGGGAGTCCCTGTGGAGGACTTTCAAAGATTCGTTAAATCTTTAAAATAAATTCGTTAAAAAAAGAAAAGAAAGACTCGTTAAATAATTTTCCCTTGGTCGAGCATGGCCTTAATACGACCCACAGAGCACAGGTCAAGACCACCGCAGTGCTGTCGCGAGCGAAGCAACGCACAGTTCGCCCTTGATGTAGTCGAGGCGCTTGGAGACGTTCTGCACGGCCTCGTCCGGGTCCTGCTTCACCAGAACAGGGCCGATCAGCTTGTAGACTCGGGCCCCCTCCTCCAGCAGAGCCATCTCCTGCGGACGCCAAGGCACTAGCGTCAGCAGCTGGCACTGTCTTCTGTGCAGTGGGTGCAGTCTTCATGTTTGTGGCAGGTAGTTAAAGGTGTGCAAATACATGTGCTTTGTGAATGAGAAGTATTAGCATAAGTATATGAGGCTCTGAATGATCATCAATCTGATCAGCTGAAAATACAAACACTCCTGTAAAATTATGTAATCATGCAAAGGCAAGTGCAATGTCTTGAAAGGTAACAAAAGTGGTGAATAAACAAAACTTAAGGTGATACATTGCAGAGCAGCAAATGCAGGAGACTGCTACATATTGCTGTAGACACATTATGATCCCAGAAAACAACACCCAGATACATTGGATGGGTGTACAACATGCCAATCCCTACACTGGCCAACTATCTTAAATGTGATGGGTGTTTGTGCTTGACATGCTTTGACCTTTCTGTGCAGCATCACTGCCAGATTGTACATTGTATTCCTGCACTGCTTCATTGATGACAGGATGAATAGTCATGCATTCATGGGTACACCTAAAGCAAAACTATAACAACAACAAAATGTCAACAAAACCCAGTTGCAAACACAGTGCTTACCTCTTTGACCAGAGCATTTTCATTCATTTGGCCATCAAGGGTTTGACGAGCAGCCAAGGCTTTTTGAAGATCTGAAACAACAAAATAATGGAACGTGTGTGACATGCTTTAGTACAACAACCGTGGTAGTCTGCCTTGATGGCTCGTTTGGTGGGGCTGTGATGAGCTGCAGTCAGTGGCAACACCAGGCAACTGTGATGTAAGAGGACAGGATCAGCTGTGTCCAGAGTTGCAGCACACAGAGCTTTCACCTCTTAATTCTGTCACAGACATGGAATTTCACAACTTTATGATTTTGTGACATCAGAAGGTTGATCTTGGCAAACTTGACCACTGACTGCACAGGCCATCACTGGTGAGTGAATTAAGACAGGAGTCCAGATAGGTCCTGAGCCATAGCTAAAAATGCAAAATGCACAGCACATCCAGTGTAGTAGCCACAACCGGAACACAACTTCAGCACATGTACATCATAAATCTGAGCATTTGAGGTTATGTGCATGGTCACCACCAGTTACAAATTAAGTGAAGTCCATGTTTCAAGGAACCATACCGCAAGGAGAAGTCCATATGAAAATGATGTGAACACATTTGAACATAACAATAATGACATAAAATTAAGAAATTTCAGCTGACCTACACTTAATGCAAGCAAGCATAAGGTCAATTGCACTGATTTCTCCCAGATGTCCAGTGCACTGGACAGAACAGATTTTTTGCTTACTGGGTTCTACCAAAACCAACTGCATCACCCAGACTGAAATGCCAGCAACAATAGCAAATGGCAACACCACCACAAAAACATAAAACTGTACCTACCTTTCTGCAACAGCTTGTACTTCTCAACCTCTGCATGAAATTTTTTCTGTATCGCTTCTGTCATTTTTAAAGCAAATGAACGGCCTGGCAGCTGCCAAAAATACCGAAAACTACGCAATTCCAATGCTCAAAAACTACGTCAATGGCAAGTATGCCTTCCTAATGTTTCGCAGTGCCCAAGTTCCAAGCCAATGTACTCTAACGGCGTTACCAGGGCAGTAGAACACTTCGCTACTTTCTTGTTTTCAGGTCGCCCCAACGTTCACAATCGATGTCCCGAAGGGCGGTGACCAAAGCCCTAGAACAGAGGCGGCGACACGAGGACCCAGGGTGCCCGCAGGTGCACGGGGTCTAAACTGTACACCAAGTAATGGCGCAATGGTGACAGAAAGTGTGTTCGAAGACCATTGGTTGATAATGAAACTAGTATCTGATTGGTTAAATTTGGCTAATATTCAGCTGTTTGGCCTACGCGAATAGCGCTTTTTCGCGACATTTACGGTGAGTTGGTGCGGCGTAGACGTATGGGTTTGTACGTCCGGTCTGCGCCCTGTTGATTACATGCGTTCATCAGTAGATTGTTTAGGACGGAACGCAGGGACGGGGTGTTTGCATCGATAACGTTGGTAGGTCCGTGCGTGTGCGAATCATGTCCTATCATTGTTTCAAAATATCTGTGGCAATCAAATGAGAGGGGTCGGACACCATGGCCCTCCCACATTTTCAGAAGTTTGCATTACCAAACAGTGGTTGAGCACCTACGCTTCAGTCTGTAAAAATAAGCACTGCACAGGACGTCCATCAATACACTGAGCCTAGTGCTTGGCTGTGCATTACTGAGGACAGGCCAGATCATGATACATTTTCAACTTTTTCTGTGTAAACAAGTTTTTTGGAGCAATTTAGCATAAACTATGTCCACATCATAATGCCCTGAAACATTGGCAGTCCATGAGCTTGGATTGGCAGTGACCATGCACTTGTGAAAGTTATGAAATGCCATGATGCCATGCATGACATGTATAACATATGTCTGTGCAGTCTGGCCTGTGCACTGGGATAGGATACAGTAGTTCATAACTGGTTTTAACCCCCAACTGTTCACAGTGCCCATTTGCCAGAAGAAATAACTGTTAAATATTACACCTTGTGGCTTAATTCCTCCAATTTGTTGTGTTTGATGCCTGCTCCTGATGTCTGCCATGCCCATTTGTTGTTTGTTACCTAGATACCAGTCTGCAAAAGGTGGCAGACTTTAACAAGAATTGGGGCTGAGAAACAGGCTGCCCCAAATAAGGCAGCCTGCTGTAGGGATTTTTATAAGAAATGAAATATAAGAAATGAAATGCATAGAAACAAATGAAATAAGATGTAAGAAAAAAAGATGACAAAGATTCCCTGATGATATGATTTGATCTCTTAGCTACCAATAACCTCTGCTGCTTTATTCAGGAAGGGTCAAAATGACATTCAATTTTCTGGCCATTGTTATGCATGAGGTTTTTATTTAATATAGCATACAAACAGTGTAGAAAAGTGCATCAAGCATATCACAATTTAAATGTTAAAAGCTCATAACTGTAGAGCTGCCACACTGTTTTTTTTGTTGTCTTTCTGGGAATCATCTGTTTGCAGTTGTTTTTTATTCAGAGCAACCAGTGGAACCTGGAAAAAATACAAAAGCTTTCCCCTGGCACATTACTTTTCTGTGAAAGAACTTGAGTTGCATTGGTGGATCTCTAGGTATAGGGGTTGTGGGAGCAACTACTTACAGGACCAAACAGGATAATATTGCAGCAGCTCAGCCAACTATGTTAAATTTGTTACAAGTGTGGCACATTGGGTCTTTGAGCTGCCCATGCCATAATGTATAGTCACTCATTTGTTTTGATGCACTGTGGTATGTTTCCGCTTCCATCTGACATTTTGCCAAGTTTGATGCTTTGAAGTACTACTATCCCAAAATAAGATGACTTGCTCTTATTCAGGCATCTCTGCCCAAAAACTTTCAACACCTGCCCAGATATGAATCTTGCCCCAGCACTGCCCCAATGCAGTGCCATCAAAATCAGTTGTTCTGCAGACTGACCTAGATGGGTGTTAAGTACGCACAACAAATACCTAAAGATATATTTTGCAGCTATTAACATCTGCATGGCAAGTGTTGTACTCAGGTAGCTTCACAAGTTCACCTCATTACTGGCTATATTCTGTGCATAGCATGTGCACTGCATATTGTTGGGTTTTTATTCATTGGTGGCCATGTTAGAATGTAAACCTTGTGAACATTTCCCCCATGGCATCAACTGTACTTTGTAGGTACCAGATGGTTCAGTATTGGTCCCTGGGCTAGGAGTTGGTGCCATTCAGCACAAGAATGTAGTTGGAAGTGGTTGAAAGATAACACCAGAATAATCTCTGCCATCTTTATCAAAGGGGGGGGGGGGGCAGAGCACAGAAGAGAAGAGGAGCTTAACATTCCCTTTAAATGTGGGAATCACAAACTTTCTCATCACATCCAAGTTTTGCACCTGCATACAAAAAATCTGTTTTTGGAGCATTGGTACCAGCTGTTGTGCCATAGCTGGAATCAGAATAAGTGTGTCAAAATCATTTGTGAACAATGAACTTCCCACTTTCTTGGCACATGCATGATTGAGCCCTGCCGCCAAGTTGGTATGCAACAGCTTTATAAGAGTTACCACTGAGTAAAGGGCATCTGGATTTCAACTGCCTTATTGTTCCTGTTAATGCAAAATCTATCCATGTTTGCAGTATTGCAGGCAATTAAATCACAATTATGATGGTCGTGAATTGCTTTTGCTCATGGCAAATTTCCCACTAATTCCTGTTTGCATAGTGCAATTTGTCTAGCATGAATAGTTTGTGTGTGTGAACCTTGTGGTCACTGCGGCAAATGTTCAGTTGAGAAAATGTTCTTGAGTCAAGTGCTAATTAGCTGAATGTTGATTTGCTGCATGCTTAGGGATCAAAATAATACATTACATTACATCACATTATTATTTACATTGCATTACATTACATTACATTACATAATTATTACATTACATTACATTGCATACAGAGGTTCATCAGTGTGGCCTGTGGACGTTTTTGCACCATCTTCCTATGAGGGGAGACCTCAGCCCCCTCCCCCTTCCCCCGAAGATCTTGTGTCAAAAACCAAGCAAGCTAGAGCCAGGGGGTGGATAGGTCAGTTTGAAAAGCTTGTCCAACTGCATCAGATCAGTGTGGGCAACTGTGTGTAAACTGCATCAGAGAAGGCTCAGGTGACTTCACATGCCAAATCAGGTCTACCCTCCTGGTTCTGCAAGAATAAGTTATGCTGCAGCACAGAAAAAGGCATTGCATAGCTTTTAAAAGTCTGTCAGATGTTATCTAGTGGGTACTGGCAGATGTGGCTTGTGATGTGTTGTGTCAGGCCAGAGGGTAGAAGGTTTTTTCAATTGACCCGATCAGCTACATCAATAACTAAGTGGGCCAAACCATGCTGAATTACTCTATGTCCTCAGAGATATTGATTACACCTAACGACAATACTATCAATGTGTAGTATGGTGCACGGACCATCCATTTTGGTGTGCAGGTGTCATCACCTTACGGGGTTCTGATTATCCAATTCACATGTCAGCAAAATGGTTCTGCGATTTAACCATTCGGCGAATTTACGGTGGTCTTATTACCACTGCTCGTGAAATTCAGGTTTCAAAAGAGAGGCATTTGGTTGTTCGACGATCCGCTGATTTTCCATTCGGCTAATTGTCATCCGCCTACATTCCATTTCCGCATGTTGGCATTCAGCCAGTTAGCACCGCGATTAATTTGCGTTGCAACTTATTTGCATTTCGACAATTTTCTCGTCCTCAAAAAGACGTGCCGTTAAGATGGCTTCCGTCTTTTAGTCGGTTTGGCTTAACATGGCGCCAAGAACCATTAGAGTTTTCACAATTGGTGAAATAACATTCAGCTGCGCGAGATTTGACAATTTTTCTCAGAATAAAAATGCATAAGAATGAAAAGGGCTACAGGATACCAAGTGTGGTACGTGGTACGGAATGGTCGTGACGCTACCATTTATGCGCTCAGGTTGCGGACTAACAGTTCATGGCGAATTTTCTGTGCATTCTTCGCCCGATATTTCTGTATTTTCCCACATACATTTGGGGGGGGGGGGGTCTCAAATCAGCATTGGTTGGCTCGGTCCTCCCCAAAAGTATGTTAAGTGACGCCTTTGTTAATGAAGATAAAAACTAAGCTCTGTGATCAATGAAGCTCTTGGCATATGCTTTGCATGAAGCCATGTGGATTTTATCTTCATTCTGTTAATGTCGTCCGACTTTTTCCAGGTAAATGTACCAGAGACCAAATGAGAAATTGTTTGCGCACCATGGAGCTCTCACACGTTGAGCTGTGTGCATCATAGAGCGGCCAGCCAACCCAGCCATGGCCATGGCCCGGGTCAAGAACGACCTGTCGGATGGCAGTGGCTGGGAGAAGTTCTGCGAGACCCAGGCGAGGTCGGCGGCGCTGGACTTCGCCGAGGCGTTCCGCCGCTTCGTCACCGACAACTCCACCGGCCAGAACTGCGTGCCGTTCTCGCACAAGGACTTCATGAAGAAGTTCCTCGAGAGCTTCCAGGAGAACTTCGAGCGCGAGATCCGCAAGTGCAACCACCTGAACGGCTACGCGGCCAACAACTGCTCCAGCTCGTTCAGCCAGGAGCAGCTGTGCGACAGTCACGAGGGCGAGGTGACGGCGGCCAAGCCGCCCGGCCGCAGCCTGCTGCAGCGGCTCGGCTCCTTCAAGCAGCTGACGCTGAAGAAAGGGCGCAGCGTGTTCCACAAGCAGCACTCGGACGAGGTGGAGCTGTCGCCGCACCGCGGCCGGGCGCGCAGCGACAAGCTGCGTGGCAAGCTCTCCAAGATCGTGGTGGAGATCAAATACCAGGGCATCGTCAACTTCCTGACGGGCGACAATCTGGACGTGTGGAGCCGGTGCCGGCTGGCGCTGGTCCGCACAGGCGCCGGCTACCTGCTCGAGTTCTTCACACCGCCCAAGGTGGGTCCAAGGCGGCCTCCGGCGGCGGGGGGAGCTGCAAGTGGAGAAGGACTACACACCACAGCAGCAGCTTATGTCAGTCCTTCAATGGCGCCTAGGGATGCTCCTTGGTAGCAAGCGGGTAGGCCTGATGAGTCAGATGTGATGGACCCAGCAGGCTGGGCTCTGGGTTTAGTGAACAGGCAGCAGGCTTATATGTAAATGTTCCGTTTGGCCTGAAAGGGCAGTACAGATGGGTTGTGTGTGTGGGGGGGGGGGGGGGGGGGGAGATAATTTTCTATTGTCGGGTGCCCAGAACTGGGGAGTTGGTCGGTACTATGACCAGCGAGAACGTAAATGCGCTGCTGCGAGATGGCCCTTGATTCCGATTTCCGGGATATTGCAGCTCCCAGTCCTCACCATGACGTTGGGCTCGCAGAGATCACATGCAGTTCTCCTGTGCACTCTCAAACCAAGCCTTAGGGCATTCATTTTTATATGCAAATTGAACATGTGTTTTGGTCATCGTTGGGAACATGGGCGTTTCATGCCAACACCTTTATTACTCGCCAGTTCCTGAGGATATCGCTACCATTTTCCGTGCGTTGTTTCCGCCTGGATTATGTCCTCAAAGCCCGTGAGCGTAAACTGCACACGTTGTTTTACGGTCCATGTGCGGAGACGGCCACGGCTGTACAGGCACATCCAAGGTGCCTTTTCGTGTCACACGCAACGCGCTCCATGTTTGAACTCCGTGCTCGGACGCGTACCGTCCGGCAGGCGCTGAAGCCGAAGAGTGGCGTGTTCTGCTTCCTGATCACGGAGGCGCGGGAGACGACGGCGCTGGAGATGCCTGACCGCGAGAACACGTTCGTGCTGCGCGTGAGTGCTGGCCGCGCGGCGGCCCCAGCCGACGCCCCATCCGGCTGAGTGGCGGGGGTGGTATTGACAGGGCTCGACTCGTCACTCCTGTGCAATGGCAGATGCCCATTGTGTGGGGAGGAGAGAACGAGTGGATGCCGAGCGCAATCCTTTCATTAGGACGCGCTCTTGTCTTTCCCAGCCGTTGTGTGGCGTCGCTGCGTGTAGCGGGCGATTCGATGTCATTTCCCCTAAAAGTGGCTGTAAACAGGCACTCACTTGGCATGTGCTGCACGTGCGCAATGTACCTACCGGGCGGCAAATCGACATTTTCAGCCGTAGGCGGGATCGTAGCCGAGTTGTGTCGTAGACAACCGCCTCATGCCACGCTGGCGCGATTGGCGATCGGCTCTTGTGTTGGCGCCTACCCGTACCCTGACCCACCCCACTGCCCGCGGCCGGGGCGTCCGGCGGCTACCACGCCAGCTCGCCAGCGTCACCGCCCCCTGTCGGCAGGCCGAGAACGGGCTGGAGTACGTCATCGAGGCGCACGGTGCCCGGGACATGAAGACGTGGCTGTCGGTGATCCGGGCCAGTATGCGGCCCGAGAGCACCGGCGGGGAGCCGTCCGAATCCATCAGGTCAGCGGCGACGGCCGGATCTCGACCGTCACCGTCCGGGGCGTCGCCCTCGCCCGGCGCCGGCGGCGGGGTCACGTCCCGTGGGGGCAGGCCAGGGGAAACCGAGCGAGCAACAGGCGTCAGGAGGCCGCTGGCTCAGTGGCGGGGATGTACGTCAGGGCAAGGATCGGCTATGGCTATGAGACTCGAAGGTGGAAATGCCCTGTGCGCCGGGTGGTCCTCCGTGTGGTCGTCACCTCCGTGCTAGATCTGATGGTGTTCTCACTTCGTTTTTGTGGCTGCTTGCCCTCTGCTTCTGTATCTGATTTGTGGTCTGATGTCATCGTGCGTCGTCTCATCGTGCGTGATCTACTTTATCATCTGTGACAGTGTGACCCATGTGTCCGTCAGCCTGCCTCACAGTGTGACCCGTATGTCCGTCAGCCTGCCTCACAGTGTGACCCATGTGTCCGTCAGCCTGCCTCACAGTGTGACGCGTGTGCCCGTCAGCCTGCCTCACAGTGTGACCCGTGTGTCCGTCAGCTTGCCTCACAGCCTGACCTCGTCGGACGCGGCGCTGCTGGAGCGGCCTCTGGGCTCGCACCGGCGGCCCGACCTCTCGCACGAGGAGGGCGGCCCACCGGAGCTGCCGCCGCGGCTGGCGGAACGCCAGCTGGAGGGGCGCCGCAGCGTGCGCGCCGCTGGCGCCGCCGACGTCGCGCCCCGCCCGCCAGAGGATGGTGAGTTCGCCGGTAGATGGCGCTGGGTGTCATGCACGGTGCTGGAAAGATGTTCAGGCGGGTCCGAGAGTGACGGATCGGTGGTCAGGCTCTGGACGGATATTACGTGAAAGAGTTCATGCGCTCGACGGTGTGTGCAGTGTGTGTTCAGCCTGCTCAGAAGACAAAAGGCGCAGCTGATGCATGGATCACAGTTTCTGTTGACATCTGTACCGCCCGCTGAACTCGCCCCGGTCCGCGCCGAGGGTGCCCGGCCTTTTGGCAGTTAGTTGTGATGCCGTACGTTGGAGATGAGCCGCAAAAGTGGACCGGAGCGCTTAAATAGAAGTGACGTCGTCATGCCCTCAGCACACGCCTGCACTGACAGCCATGGGGCACAAGCCGATCATGCAGCGTGCCGCCGTTTCCACGGTGTAGCGCGTGTCTCCGCCTGCTCTGATCGCTTCGTTACGCGTCCCTGCCGTCGCCACGCTGACACGCGCGCACCGGTGCAGGCGTGGTGGACGCGTACGGCGAGCTGCACGACTACCCGTGGTTCCACGGCACGCTGGCCCGCTCGGACGCCGCCCAGCTGGTGCTGCAGGAGGCCCAGCTGGGCCACGGCACCTTCCTCGTGCGACAGTCCGAGACCAGGGTCGGCGACTACGTGCTCACCTTCAACTGCCAGGGACGGCCCAAGGTGCGCATCCAGCCCGCCAGCTGGGCACGGGCACGCGCGTAGCGCTTCTTGAACTAGATGTCGGCGCGCCGTAGAGCACCCTGCAGTGTATGGTTGTGGTGCCCTGCGTGAGATGACGGTGCCGTCTTATCCGCGACGCATTTGACGTGTCGTTTCCTCGTGCGGTGACAGATTCTTCAGAGATTGAATCGCGCATGCTGAAATGGAGCGGCGGCCGTGCGTTTGTTGTTGCAGCGATGTTGCGAACGTGTCGAGTAAGAGCCGCAGACTTGTCCAACGATGGGCTGATCGGGCACGTGCTATCCATCTCGTGCCGGCGGGGGCATCAACTTCACCGCCCGGTCTGGTGCCCGACGTCTAGCCCTCCTGCCCGTCAGTCACCGCTCCTTACTGACATCCCCCGCCCCCTCCCCCTCCCGACAGCACCTGCGACTCACCATCTCGCAAGAGCGCCAGTGTCGCGTGCAGCACCTCTGGTTCAACTCGGTGTTCACCATGCTGGAGCACTTCCGCCTGCACCCCATCCCGCTGGAGTCGGGCGGCAGCAGCGACGTGACACTGGGCGAGTTCGTGCTGGTGCCGCGCCGCGCTGCCGACGCGGCCGGCGCCGGCGGCGAGCCCCGCCCGCGCCGCGCGCCCAGCGTGCCCGACCTCACCGAGGTCAGTGGGGGGGGGGGGGGGGTCATCCGGCGCCCCGCTGCGGACGGCCCGCACTCGGGGGGGGGGGGGGGGAGGGAGTGCTGGCTGTGGTGCGCCGCGTGGGGCTTGGTCGTGATCTGCTGGTGAGTGGATGGCGCCGGAGCTCGCCTTTTGTGATAGTTCTGTTTGTCTGACTGGGAAAGACCCACGCGAATTATCTCGCGCGTAAATTGCTTGCTATGTCCATGTTACAGTCCATGGCGAAGGGGTTATTTCGTTTTTTTCTGGCGTAAATTGAAACAAAATTACTGATCCTTTTGTTAATGATTTTTTCATCGCGTTAAGCTTCAACGCAATTAGCCGTTATTTTGTCGGACAGTTGTGCGTAGGTGTTCGATGGTTAGCAGTTGTCTGGTCCATTGCGCGGTATAGCACGAAGCCGAGTGTAGTCGTGAGGTTGTCTCCTGGTCCAGGCATCCCCTCGCCGTGCCGTGGCTGTGGTCCCTCTGACGGCTGGCGTGCGGTCCAGGTGCGGACGTACGGCGGCTCGGTGCGGCTCCGCTGCGGCTCGCTGGAGCGGCTGGAGCAGCAGGCCGGCCAGGGCAAGCGCGCCGTCGACAACCCCTACTCGTTCGTGTGAGCTGCCTGAGGAGCCCGCGCCGCCGCCGCCGTCGCTCGCTAGTCAGTCTCGGGCCGGGGCACGTCCGGATTGGCGCGGCCGCCCGCGCGCCGCGCGATGGCGCCGCTGGGCCGTTCTCGGCCACCGCCTGCGCAGTCACGTGACGCGCCGCGTCGAGTCGCATGACCCGGCTCGGCGCCGCATTTTGGGAGCTGTGGTACGACGGGCATTGCCGCCGCTGTTCGTGTCGTGTTCCAGCGCGTCGCCGGGCGTCGGTGCGGTGGCCCCGCGCGCGCGCTTGTGTTCCGCCGCCGGCTCGCAGACGCGCCCGCCGCGTGTAAGACATTTGTTCTTAGCTGTGTCGAATTGCCATAATAATGCCTCTGACAAAGTTCCGCCGATCTTGGTACACATGACCGATCAAAGGGTCCGAGCCGGATCCGTTTTGCCGTTGTCTGCCGCGCGCCGCTGCCGGCACCCGTGTGTCGCGAAGCCCGCCTTGCTTGTGTGAGAGTCGGCCGCTGCTGCGGGATGTGCGCTGGGCCGGGCGCCGTGGCGAAATTGCAGTATTTTTGCAGTATTGGCCGCCGACCTGATGCTCTCGCCGCCCTCCGTACAACTATAATGCTCAGTGCCAACGCCGCCCGCTCCCGTGCTGTGTATGCCGCGTGTGCTGCGCCTGTGGACCGGCTGCGCTTCTCAGGGCTCGTCAGTGGCGGCCTGTCGCCGGCCTCTTTTCACAAAGACGTTCGTTTCTGCGTGTGTGGATCCTGGGGTGCCGCCCGCCCGGGCGGGGTGGGTGGTGGCCGAACCGGACGGCGTGAGGGGTGCGTCCCCGGAGCGCGCCTGGGGGAGGGGCAGTTGGGGGAAGACCGATGATGGGGCACCGAAGATGTCAGATGGTCTGAAGACGACTCGGGGAATACGTGGCATTCTTGAAGCCGGTCTGTGGGAGGGGCTGTTCACTTGCAGGGAGAGAATTTTATGGCGTTGGCATGTTCCCCACTCCCACCCCCCATCCACCCACTGCTGGTCCAGCGAGGCGTATCGGCTTGAACGTATTTTGAGTGGCCGCCGTGGCGTTCGTTGTACTCTTGTTTCATTTGACTCCATGACAGGCGATTTTCTCATGTTGTAACTGGACTCTACTCCCAGATGACGCACGGAATCTTGATGCTTATTACTCGTGGTGCGTTATTCGCCGCCTGGAGGTTGCGTCACTTTCGCGGGGTTGGTCACCAAAGCCGTCGTGTTGCGCGTTACGTTGTGTGCCGCAGCGCGCCCAACACATGACGTTATGAGGCATTGCTGTCACGTGATCGCTCGGCCAGTTTGGTGTTGTCTCGTGCCTGTCGTGGACTCGGACCGGCGCGCCCGGCCCACATGCTCCCCTTCGACTGGTGGCATACATTTGTGATATTTTGTTGGGTCTGATACGGTCCGTAGCGTAGAAGCGCACCGATCGGCAGGACACGCGGACGTTTCGTGCCGCCCGTGTCACAAGTATTGACGTTGCCGCTCGTGCTCGCATTGCCTAGACGTATCTGTTCAGCGACACACAAACTTTCAGCGGCGATGTTTATTCCAGCGCGCTGGCTGGATGTGCTTGTTTGGATGACATTTTCATTCTATGTGAAGTGGAATATATGCGATTGCTCGTTATCGCAGAAATACATCAGATCCTCTGGAAAGATCTGTGCCAAGGTGTGGGTGCTTTTTTATCGGGTCCTGTGTTCACCAGGTTTGAGAGCTGGATTCGATTTGGTGATCCCTGCCAAACCCTTTGGAGTTGACAGAAAACACCTGTCGCAAATCGTGTCGCTATCATGTTATCATAAACATAGAAGAAACAGGACGAACAGAGTGGGACGCGGACCGCACAGGCCCTTGAGACAGAGTGCCATCGGACGTCTGGGGAAAACACGGCATTAGGATGTCAACCCCACCGAGATTTCCGTCGGTGGACCATCGAGCAGGGGGCCCCCACCCTCACGGGTGCCCACCGCACGCTTCTGGTAACATAAAGGTCAAATGAAGTTCTGTGTCGTGCAGAAATTCGCAAAATCAGAGTAATTCACAATTCTCCGCTCCAAGTGTTGGCAGCGGATCGACATGGTAGCGTAATAGCTCCACCTGCTCCACCTCTATTTTGTAATTTGCCCGCCTGAATGGGCTGCGCCAATCGGCGACAATCTCGTCACGCCTGTGCCCGGCTATTCCCCGACTGGCTTTGGCTTTGCTCTAGTATCATTACTTTCGCTACGACATAGTGTTCGCGCGCCCCGGGTTTGTACGCTTATCGTGGTTTGAGCCGATGTTGGATTTGCTTGTGCTGTTGTGAGAGTCTTCGTGTAAGGCCCGACTGTGTGCAGGGATGAGGTACTTTGTGACAATCAGATCCACTGCCTAAAATTGAGCCCATTTAGAATTGATGCTGCGTCCAATATGTTTGTTCTTATGAATTTCAGAAATGCGTACATCTCTTGGCAGAAAAATGACATTCTTTAATGCTTGGGTTGTGGTATACATATGCCACCTCATGATAAAAAAGCATTGTACATCAATTGTCGTGTGTAAGGCAAAACATATTGTAATTAATTGTAAAACAGGTCATCTAAACTCTTACCTTGGAACTTAAATAACTACTAAGGCAAATATCTGAGTGCCGCAAACACTCAGCAACCACGACCCCGGCGCCATTGCTACATGTGATCACAACATTACTGCACATCAAATGGTGATGCCTTTCAGCCAACATATATTACCTGTTCATTGTAGCTCAAGCTGGTGGTCAACCTCCCAGGGTGTACACTACATTTTTTAACTACCCAGGTATGTATTAGGCTTCATCCCCAATGGCTGTTTCTGACCCTCCTTGTGCTTGGTATCAATGGTGTATGTGCCACACTTCCTAAAACAGTCCAATACAACAATCTGTATCAAATGATACAGATTGCTTTGGGGAAGTATGGGGCCTATGCTGGCAATGTCTATTAATCAACAGGCTTTGGCTCCATCCTTAGATGCAGTTGTGACCATTAGGTATGCTGCATTTGATATATTAGTTAAGCTTTTGTGAAGAGTTGTTGAATCAGAATGCCCATCATATTTAGGAAGAGGAAACATTAAGATAAAAAATTCAGGCAAAATTGAAAAATATGCTTACAAAATGGGGTTAATTTTGAGCATCACTGTTCATTGAAGCCTTCATGTGGTGGTAGGCCTGTCAAGGTTGAACAAATATATTAGCATGATAACATTGAAAGTTTATCTTGTAATGCTCGGGATTGTACAAGAAAAGTTCTGAAAAATTTTCAGGCTCACAAAATGAAACATGAAGACCTCGACTGAAAGGCACAAACAATTTTTAGAAGCTCAGATATTTGCACCTTTATTCCACCATTATATCTACAAGACAAGAAAATGTGTGCATAAGGTAGAAAACTGCCAAATGTTTGTTGCATGGTCAACTTTTTGTTTTGTTCATTTCAGAAGTTACAGGATGCATGTGTTGTCAAACTATAGTGTTCTGCAACAAGCCTCTACTGTTAAAAGCAGATACTGAACATAAGCAAGCCACTGAAGACACGTAGGCAAAGAAGCAGGAAAATGTTAACCTCAACTTCACAGCTTATTAAACAGCTGTCAGATTTGGTAAGCACCAATGATGATAGTAATGCTGACTTGTTGAGCAACATGCAGCACTTTGATACAATGTGTCATCATGAGCTTCACAGCTTGGATTATTAATGTTTTATTCATTTTGGGAGCATTGTGTATAGCTATGACGTGGTTAAACGCAATATGTTCACCACAACACTGTAAACCAATAATTTTGTTCTAAGTCTGTTGTCATATGTCAACTTGTATCCACTGAAACGAATGTAGCATAAAATGTGGTTCAATATGGATGATTGCTGCCATGAGCACAGTTAAGACTGGGAAAATGTGAACAGTTTGGATTTAATGACTTTATTTCCAACAGTCCACATAGTTTCATGATGTAATGTGTCATTGTTGTCCTGATATCCGTGTTGCCTGGGCTGCACCAGTCTGTCTGCCTTGCACCTGGCCGGCCCTGCGACAGCGCCCAGTGTCCTGACCTCCGCGTGTACCGTGCAGGCGAGCCGTCTGCCCGCCCTGCGGCCGGCGGCTGGAGCCGAGGCGCGCGTGCTGGACACGTGCCGGGCGGCGCGGGCCGGCCTGCAGGAGCTGCAGCGCTGGCTGGCCGCGCGCCGCCAGCCGCCGCCGGCCGCCGTGACTGACGCCGTGGCCGCCATGCTGGCCGCTGCTCAGGAGATGGTCACCTCCGCCAACCAGGCCAGGGTGAGCCGGACGCGCCGGCGGCCGGGGGGGGGGGGGGGGGGGGGGGCTGGTACGCGGCAGGCGCCACCCAGCGCTCAGCCCAGCGCAGCCGACCTCGGTCTGGACGGGTGCTTTGTGACGCTACCGAGCTGCTGCGCCTCGGCCCAGCCGCTGTGACTGGAGTGTCCGTGCCCGTGTGCCCTTGAACCATGATGCAGTCTGTAGTCACTTGGTCGCATAGCGGCCACCGCGTGCGCGCGCGGTGCCGACGCCTTGTTTTCACGCCAGGGCGTCTACACTTAACCACGCCGCGCGTCACCGTAACGGCGGTGACGTCACCATACCCGCCGCGACATCACCGTAATTGCCGTGACATCGCCGACGGCCGGCAGTTCGACGCCGCGGACGGTGACGCCGCCGCGCGCCTGCTGGCGTCGGTGGCGACGCTGACGGACGCGATGGCGGCCGTACTCGCCTGGTGGGACGGGCTGGCGGCGGCGCCGCTGCAGGCCGCGCAGGATCAGGTGGCCGCCGCGCTGGCCGACCTGGGCCGCGCCACCAGCCTCCAGGGCCTGCAGCCCGCCGTCAAGGTGCGCAGCGCGTCGGCCTGGTTGACTTCTTCAGTCGTGTTTGAAAAGAAGAAGCTGACGCCGAAACGGGCCGTTTTCTGCCGTCGCGCCCTGCTTCATGTCTTTTTCTTCCACTCTTAAATGCTGGACTCCGCCAAAATGATGCACTCAATGGCGTTTAGTAATCCTGCTGTTTTCTATGATACAGGCAAATCGGAATGTACCGACAGATTTGTTGGTTTTCATCATTGACACCTCTTCGTCGCCTGTTACTTGTCGCGGCCACGGTCGGCTTCCGCTCGGGGTCTCCGTCTGGGCCGAGCCTCAGCTGACGGTACCTGACGTCGCCGCGGCCGCCAGGTGGCCGTCTCCGAGCTGCGCCGGTTCGTCGAGGTGTGCCAGCGGCTGGGCGGCGAGCTGGGCGCCGAGCGGGCGCGCCGCCAGCTGGCCGCCCAGCTGGGCCACCTGCAGCTGTGCGCCCAGCTGCTGCCGGCCGCCGCCGTCTGCCGGGTGGTGCACCCGCTCAGCGCCAGCGCCAAGGTGGGCGACCGGCGCGGCCGGCGGGCGGACCGGTCGGCTCCGGACCCTGTATGGGTCGGGAAGGGGAAGGGGGGCTCTCGTCAGGGAGCGTGATGTCACCTTGTGCCGAGTGTTCGCGCCATTTTGTACACATGGCGCGCTTAAATAGGTCATGGCCGTCGCCAGATATTGCTGCCAGGCCTGAGTGTTGTGTTACGGCTTTGGGTCCGAAGGAGTATCGCCTCTGCTAGGCACGCGGTTCTGTTGTATGTCTGGGAGGGGCGATGGAAATTGACAACTGCTTGAACATGGCCTTCAACGGCGCTGGATCGTGCCGCAACTGTAGCATTAGCGAGTGAGACGCGGCGCGCACGAGGCTCTCAGAGAAGCGCCGCGTGTCGTGAGCCTCGTACAGGTGCCGCCTGCGGTGCTGACCGGGCAGTTGGCCGCCGCCGTGAGCCTCGTACAGGTGCCGCCTGCGGCGCTGACCGGGCAGGGAGCCGCCGCCGTGAGCCTCGTACAGGTGCCGCCTGCGGCGCTGACCGGGCAGTTGGCCGCCGCCGTGAGCCTCGTACAGGTGCCGCCTGCGGTGCTGACCGGGCAGTTGGCCGCCGCCGTGAGCCTCGTACAGGTGCCGCCTGCGGTGCTGACCGGGCAGTTGGCCGCCGCCGTGAGCCTCGTACAGGTGCCGCCTGCGGCGCTGACCGGGCAGGGAGCCGCCGCCGTGAGCCTCGTACAGGTGCCGCCTGCGGCGCTGACCGGGCAGGGAGCCGCCGCCGTGAGCCCTGTGTGACGGCCGGCGCCGCGCCTGCCGGCAGCTGCCGCTCTCGGTGGCGGTACGCGGCGTGACCGAGTCGGCGGCGGAGGCGGCCGCACTTCTGACACAGCCGGAGCTGGCGCCGCGGCCGGCCGAGCAGGCCGGAGGACGGCGGCTTCGTGCGCAGCACCGACGCCCTGCTGCAGCTGCTGCAGCGCTGCCCGCAGGTGAGGCCCTCCGCTGCCGCCAGCCGCCGCGGCAGAGGCCCCGCTTACGTGCCCAGGCACTGTATGCGTGCGCTTGTTTATCACTAGTTTTGCATGGAGAGTCCAACTTTTGTCAGCACGCGTTTGCAAGCGTTTATTTGTGTAGCGTTTGTGTGCCGTCCCTGTGCAGCTAAAGCTTCGAGCAACTGCTTGTGAATGCCTACCAGCGGGGGATTTGACAACTTGCTAGTGGGCGGTAGCGGACGGCAACTGCCAATCGTGACCGGCGCCTGCGCGCCGCGCGCGGGCCGGCTCCACGCGAGCCCTGCGACTGACCATCCGGCCGCGTGCTCGGCAGGAGGGGTTCGCCGCGCAGGTGCAACGGCTGCTGGAGGATTTCCTGGCGCACGCGCTGGCCGTGTCACAGAGCGCGCCGGAGGAGGACGGCCGCCGCGTCACCCGCGCCTGCCAGCAGGTGGGCTCGGCCGGCGCCGCGGCGTGACAGGGGCTCCCCGCTGCAGGCGGCCCGCACGCCGTCTCCGGCCGGTATAGATGGTCTACGAGTGTGTTGTTAGCCTGTGCAGGGAGTGAGGGTGTATGTACTGCTTGCATGCGGGGGCGGTCTCAGGCAGTTGTGTGCAGTCTGTTTTCTGACACTTGTATGCAGCGTCGAGGCGTCCGCCTCCCGGGAGACGGCTCGGGCTCCAGTGAAGTGCGTGTGTGATGGGTCCGCCGCGCTATCATAACCAGTCTGTGCGGGTGCCGAACGCTTGTGTGCGGTGGCGTGTGGCCAAGGGTTTGATGGGACCGTGAGATGTTTCGGCAATGTCTTCCGTGGGTCCGCGGCGAGGTGATGGACCTTGCCACGGGCTCGAGTCTGGGGACGAGCCGCGGCGGGGGTCGGTAACCGTGGCTCTGCGCGGTCGGCTGCGGCCCCCTGACCTGACGCCGCCGTCGGACGGATCTGGAAGCGTCACGTGACGACGCCGGTTCGCCCGCTCGGCGTTCGTGTCTCGGCGCCCGCGGCTGACCGGCCGGCGCCCGGCGGCAGGTGCTGGAGCAGTTCAGCGCGGCGGCAGCCCTGCAGCGGGTGGGACCGGAGCGGCGCGGCGAGTTTGTGCTCGCTTGCCAGCTGATGGCGGACCAGCTGGAGCTGGCGGAGCACCTCGTCAACACCGAGCTGCTGCAGCTGATAGTGCAGGTCAGTCAGACGCCGGTCCCGTGAGGGTGGGGTAATTGAACGCGTTTTTGTACCGAAGACAGTTGATGCGATCTAGGCTTCCAATGCCGATATTTACCACGCTCATCTTTGCTTGGTATTTCGGTCATCCATTTCCAGCCCTTCGGCTTTGCGTGAAGGTGGAAATTTAATTGTTCTTGCTTTCATCAAGCTGGGAACACTTCGCATTGCATCACAATCTGCCAGCGATAACGCTGATGGCCATTCATTGTTATCAAGAATGTGCTGCCAACGTTGATATTGACCGTTTCAGTTCCCATGGTCTTTGATTCTACGTAGCCAAACGCGTGAGGAGAATCACCGATTTCCTTTTACGCTGCCGAAAACCAAGCAACGCAAAATATGAAACGCGTATTGCCAGTGCGCGTTCCAACCAGGCTGGGCACAGAACAGCTCCCTGCGCACCCCACTCCGCGCCGCCGGCGCACTGGCGCTATGTCGGCCCCTGCTCACCTGCGCCGCCGCCGCCACGGCCAGGTGTTCACGGAGCCGACGCGGGAGCTGGACGCGCTGGTGCGGGTGGCGGCGGGCGCGGCCAACGACGCCCCGCGCCCGGACCTGGACGCGGCCGTGGCCGACCACGACGTGGCCGCCGACAAGGTGTTCCAGGTGTGCGGCCTGGCCACCGCCTGCTCTACAGACGTGGCTAGTGAGTGCCCGGGGCGCCGGCGGGGCTGCCGCCGCGCGGCTGACGGGGCCCAGCGGCGCGCCGATGCTGCGGCGGCTGTCCGTGGGACGGCTCCGCGCCACCGCCGTATGTGACTGGGCCGCGTGCGGGGTGGCGGTCCTTGAGACGGCTCTGTGGGAGGTTCTGATGTAATGTGGCACCTCCGTGTCTCGGCTTAGTGTACTCTGACGCCTCCGTGGTGCGGCCTAATGTACTTGGACATGTTCGTGTGCTGGCCTGGCGTACTTTGACACCTCTCTGTATGGTGGCGTGGCGCTCCGGCAGAATTGCACTTGATCCGGACGAACCTGCTGCTGCTGGAGACGCTGGAGCCAGAGGTCTACCCGGCCGCCTCGCTGGTACACTCCCAGCCGTCGGATCCGGCTGCCCGCCAGCATCTGGCCGGCCTGCGCGACCGCTGGCGCCGCGCCCTCGTCGATGTCAGAGACTGTCTGGACCAGATAATGGACCCGCTGGCCTTCTGCAAGGTGAGCGCTGGGTCACCAGATGTCAGGGCTGTCGTGGTCGGACCGGGGACTTTGGTGTGAAGAGTGCCACGCCACCGTAAGTAGCGAAATGCCTGGAGCAGCACAGGATCTGCCGCGGTCCGGCGCGCGTCAGTCTTTGAATTCGTCGTAGTTGGTGAGCCGGCCGCGCCCGACCACGGACCAAGCGGCCTTCTGCATCGTCGATACTCCGGTGTTGTGTGCGTCTTAATTGGACGGAGCCGTCTTCCGGCACGCGGGCGGAGCGCGGCGGCGTCGGCGCGTGCCAGGACAAACCGCCGGGGAAGACGCCGTCCGAGCGGACGGGCTTGTGCGCGACGGCGGCGCTATCTCCGCGCGTCTGCCGGCAGGCGGCGGAGGCGTCGCTGACGCTGCTGGCCGCCCAGATGAAGGAGCTGCTGTACGACCAGGAGACCGGCGCCATGCTGGCGCTGGCGAATCGCCTGCTGAGCACGGCGCACCGGCTCGGCCAGTTCGTGCTGGAGCAGGTCACCGGCTCGACGCAGGTCACGGAGACCGTGCTGCTCGTCAACAGAGGTGAGCAGCGACGCGGGGCCTGCTGCTGGTGCTGTTCGTGCTGCTGTTCGCTAGGGGAACCTGGCCTTCTCGGACAGAGCACGGGCTTTTCTGTTGTGTGGCGAGCATGCTTCCGCCGTCTATCTTCAATCAAGCGTGGAGCCTTGGCCGAGACCATTGTGGCTTGCTGCTCATGTGAGCGCGTCGGCTTCTCCGTCTGCGTTTCCGCCTGTCGCCCTGTGACGCGCCGGACCGACCCCGTGTCCGGCGCCGTCCCCGTCCCTGAGCGACCCCCGACTGTATCCCCCCCCCCCACCCACCCACCCCCTCCTGTTTCCGGCCGACCGCCCGGCTGTGTGCCCATTACCCTCTCCGTCCAGGCTGAGCGATAGCCACGGCTCCGTGTAGCGCCCGGCTGACATGCCGACCTGCTGGACCGCTGACCTGCCGACCTGACCTGACCTGCCGACAGCCTGCGGCCAGCTGCCGGGCTGCATGCGGGCCGTGCAGGCGCGTCCCACCGACCTGGGCGCCCACCGGCTGCTGCAGAAGGTGGCCCAGGTGGTGGTGACGTACGCGCGCCGGCTGTGTGTCGACCTGGAGAAGCGCGAGGAGGACACGTCCGGCGTGCTCGACTGTCTGGACAACCTCAGCAGGAAGGACGGTGAGCGCCGATGTGGGGGCAGCTGTACAGCTGAGGGGCGGTAAAGGGACAACATGCGCGCAGGGGGTGGACGGGTGAACCCTCACTAGGCAGGGTGGTGAGTGGACAGCTGGCTGAGAGGACTGCGAGGCATTTCGTGAACAACCTGAAAGGATGGGACGGTGACTGCTCGTCGGGTAGCATCGGTGCCGTGTCGAGACTTCGCCCGGCGGCGTGCGGGCCGGCGAAGCACGCCGTCTGTAGGAGCTGTTCCGGTGTGTGAAGCGGGGCCCGTCGCCAAGGCGCGTGACGTGGCCGCCGCGTGCGCCGGCCGGCCGTCTGAGTGCCGCCCGACCCCGCAGGCGGCGGCGCGGCCTCCGTCACGCTGCTGAGCGACGTGGCCCAGCTGCCGGTGGACGAGACGCGCCACCGGGGCGCCAGCCGCGTCCAAAGCCGCCTGGCGGCCAGCAGCCGCACCTTCGACTCGGACCGCACGCGCGCCAGCGCCGCCGCCAGCGCCGCCGCCGGCGCCGCCTCCACCGAACTGTCGCTGGACATCACCAAGTACCTCAGCTACACTTCGCAGGTCCGTGCCGCTCTATCTTTCTCATGTTTGAGTGGTTGCACGCATCGTCTGCTAGCGAAATTCAAGTTCTTTAAGTTGCGAAGCGAGCCCATCCGATGTTGGGAATTGTATTCTCATTAGAGTGGTTTCTACTCATTGCTCTTCTCATTGCTTTCATATGATGACATTGTCTGACGTTACTTGATATTTTCGGAGACGAAATATGAATGTCTTAAAGAAGGCTTCTTTTAAAGTAAGCTTCGTCATGGGTGATAAGTTATGGGTACATGACGAATAGCGTGTTGCATATATGCATGACGAATAGCGTGTTATGCAAAGCTCGACAGTGTGGCGCCGCTTCCATGCAGAACTCGTCACGTTTGTGTGCGTGCATCGAGCCCAGAATGACAAACATTCGTCTTGAGAGCACATCTGTCTGGAGATTAGATCCCTACGTCTTGTTTTCACCCGTCGCCGTGTCCGCCTGCCGTAGGGTCACAAGAACGCCTCTCTGCGCCTGCGCGCCGTGCGAGTGGACCTAACGCCGCTGTTGAAGCGGCCAGAGTCGCGCCGACTCGGCAGCGGCTCGCCGGAGCCGGGCGAGTGGCGGCAGGAGCCGGACGGCGAGCCGGGGGCGGGCCACCAGCACGGCGACCTGAAGCCGCGGAGTCCCCCGACCGCGAGTTCCCCGGCCGAGGACATGCTGCCGCTGGACCCGGACGAGGTGGCCGCCGAGCTGAGCTCGCTGTCGCTGCTGATCGAGGCGCAGCCGGCCGCCTCGCCGGCCGCCGCCGACCTCTCCGACATCCTGGACAGCCTGAGCTCGCTGGCGGCCGAGCTGTCGCAGGACGTGCGGGACAGCGAGGCCCTGCTGCGGAGCGCGCCGCCGCCGGCCTGGCGCCGGCCGCGGCTCGCCTCGACGCCGCGCGCCGCCGCGCCCGGCCGGCCCGCCTACGTGACGGCGGGCTCGGCGTCCGTCACCCGGCCCACGGCCAGCTGGGCGCGGCGCTCCCCGCCCGAGGCGCCGGCCGGCGGACGGCTGCACACCGCGGACGGCGCCGCGGCTCCCGAGGGACCCGGCGCGGAGGAGAAGGAGGGCGCGAGCGCCGCCAACGCGGTCGAGTCGCCTCCCCGCGACGGGACGGCGCCGGACACGCCAGCCGCGGCGGCCAGCCGCTCGTCGACCGAGTGCTGAGAGACCGGGCGGCTCGTCGTACAGTGCGGCTGGAAGACGGGCTGGGTGCCACCTGAACTCGCTCCGGGGCGCCGATCTCTTACGAGACCGCGGGGGAGGGGCACTAGGGGGTTCTGGAGGCAGCGCCCGGGGAAGACACCGGCTGCTGAAAGACGCGTGCCCCCTGCGTGGCGCTGGGGGACGGCATGCGGCCCTGAAAGCGTGGAGAGTGCCGGCGGGCGCCATCGAGACCAGCGTGGCCGACCGGCGCGGTATGTGGTGGCGGATCCCATGCGGTATCATTGTTGCAGCAGTCGGCGTCCAAAAACTCCATTAGACAAGGAGATACGCGTGGCTACACGGAAGATGAACTTCAGTGTTTGGCTAGCTTCGTACTGGGAGCGATAGATACGTCATGTGTGGTGGTTTCAAGCCAAGAGGGCAGTTCTATACTGGCATTGGAGCTATCGTGAACGCCACTGCCAGAGAGGTCATGTATGGATACTGACATGTTTCGTCGTTACTAGAGTACATAGTGATGCACGGTGATGACATTAATTTGGGATCGGTAACGCTTCGATTGATTGGAGCTCTGCTGCACATGTCACGTCCTCGTAGAATAATGGCAGGCAGGTCATAGAAATAACAGATCGTAGAAATACGGCAGGTCAGTGGGAAGTACAACGATGTATGGTTTTATGGTGTGATGTACCATTTTGGCTCCCGTTGTTCAAAGTATCTCTGGTTTAAACTGATTTACGGACCTCATGAAGCAACAGAGGCTCGACTGCTTGATTCGCTTTGTCACACTCGTGCAACCGCCCCGTGCATGGGCTGCAGATTGTCGAGGTGTACTGGGCCTGAGCTGGGTAGCTCTCTGAGATCCGTAGCCTGCGGCATATGTGGCTGCTGCGCTGCCGCCGTCTGCGTAAGGATGGAAACACACTGAAGGCTTGACGCTGAGTCATGTGGATAGTGTGCGAAGGGTCCGGTGCGTGGCGTTATTGCTCATTGTTTTACGTTGTTGGAACTCAGCAGTTTCGCGGCGTTGTTGCTAATTTAAGCTCCCCACCAAATGCGGCATGACGTGTTTAATATACTAGCAATCGGGCGGTATTGTGTCATCCTGTCATAAACGCGACTTTTCGAGTCATGGTTGTTGCGACCACACACCCACAGGCGTACGTTCGCCTCCAGGCATTCCTATGCCGACGGAGGGTGTCGCGAGGAATACAAGATTGTCTCAAAACTAGGCCTTGCTTTTCTGACACGGCGTGCTGTGTACAGACGGGGAGGCGGTCTGCTGTGCCTTATTGGCTTTTTGTTTTCTCGGCTTGTCTAGCGGGTCGCCATCACGTTTAGGCACGGATAGCAGTTTCCCGCATGTTAGTGTTTCCTGTTCTGGGCTCATGTTTTGTAGTGCGTACACTTGCGAGATGCCAAGTTGGTTTGGCTCTACGGACATAGATTAAGAGGGTCATTTTTCATAATGGTAGGGTTTAAATTCTGAATGGTATGTCTATTCTTGTTAGCGATCCGAAAGCTTTCAGTTGTAGGAGGGATTCCAGCCAGTCTAAAAGCATAGGTCCACCGCGCTTTATACCCGCACCCACATGAAAAAATGCCACAGAGCAATCGCGTAGGAGGATATAGGCGTGATATACATTTTGAGGCATGCGTTAATGAAATTTGGTGGTCTTTAAACTATCAGAATCGTTAAAGCATGGAAAAGGTGAAATGTAGGATAATCAGAACAGCTGCATCACATTTTCCTTCACAGCCTTGATTATAGTGGTCCCGTGTCTCGATTGTGGGCGTAATCAGATACATTAGTGACGCGCCGTTCCATCAGCGAGCCGCTACTGTCACTGCTGTTGGGAATTAGATCGCCGCGAACATAAGTGTCGGGGGCGGCGGCGGCGTTTTTTCTGGTTTGTTTTGGCCAGGAAGGTGAGAAAGTCAACTATTAACATTAATTTAGTAAGCATAGTGTGATGTGTGATAATTTCCAAGCCTGACACATATGTTGATTGGTAGTTTTCACCCCTTACCTTTTGGGTTGCGGTTTTCCCCCATACTGCTTCCTTTTCGGGGTGCTACCATGCAAATGATTTCAGCGCACAGTTTCATGACATTCACATTTTCCTCACTATGAAGCAACAGCGCTTGTGTTTGTTTCCTTTGCTTGAATTTGACTTCTTTAGGATCATGCTTTTACAAATAAGAATGGATCTATTTCCAATATGTGTGGACTTATTTCACGTCATTACATAGTTTCACAGGGGGCAAATTAAGTGAATGCAGGTCATTAGACTTGTTTTGGGACCTTCCTTTTGTATGTATTTGTTCCATGTCCTTGAAGACATCGGGTTCCACTGAAGCATGAACGCATTGGCAACCACATTTCCATTCATGGGAGTCTCAGACCAGAAAATGGGAGATGGCTGAAGTACTTACTTGCCAGTCTGCCAAAGATCTATCCACCACACTAGATGCCTACAGCACTCTGGTGTGCCAAACCTCAGGCTCACATGCTGAGCTCAGACCAGGCTGAATGGTACTAAATTTTCCAATGTTTTTATGTATAAAAGGTATATAAGTACTTTTTCCTGACTTACCTTAATAGCACCATAACTCCTTTGCACATTAGCTCTATGCACACTGAAAGTATTGATAACAGGTTCTCAAACTGAGCACTGAAATTTATTGGGTACACATGCAGAAATTGTTGCTGCGATGTCATTGCTATGCCAGGTCTGCTTGGAGTAACTGTACTTTATGCAGTCTGGTCCACATGTCATGTGTGTGGTTCTGTGGTTCCATTTTTGCAGCCCAGTGACATGTCCTGGGGGCACCCCTGGTTAGAATATTATTTAGCATCAATGGTTCTACCAGCCCTTCTATTTATTTTGTTTGCAAATGATTGAATTAAACAGAAATATCAGAATAATGTGATTACAGTTTTTATTCATTTCTGTACACACCTGTTTGCTATATGATAACAGTTAATGTCTCGTTTTGGGCATCCTATCTTATTCACCATACTAGACTGCTTTCCCCGAAAACACCTTGTCATAACATCTCTTGGTGACACCAGTGCCTTATTTGTGGCTGATGCTGGGCCAATTGTTGTGTGCCACCACCACTACCACCCCTGGGTATGTTGTACCCAAAGGTTTAAATAGCAACACAAAGGGGGAGGGGCATCAAAAATAATGATGACTAAAAAATAACTGAGAAGCATATAAACAATTCCTGATCTAACCATGTTGTATTCAGGATGATTGTGATGGCCATTAATCATCAGGTAAATCACACCTAAACCTACCTAAGCTAAGCTAATCTAACAGAACATAGCATAGCATAAGTTACTTTAACGTAACCTGATCCAGTCTAAATTAGCACCTCAACCCTAACACAAACCCAGCATCTGCCCCTACTATTCTTACTATTCTTTTACTATTATATATACTATATATATATATATATATATATATATATATATATATATATATATATATATACTATTCTTACCCCTACTTCTGACCCTTACTCTACCCATACCCATACCCCAACCCCAGCCCCAGCTCCAAACCCAACCCAACCCACCCAACCCCTGTCCCTACCCTTACCATCACTCCCACTCTTGGCCTATACTTATGCTCGCTCCTAACCCTATAGATATCCATGCCTCTAAACTGAACTTGGCATCACACATCACATGGACACCCTATCTACTCTACCCAACATGTCCCCATTTGGTGCAAATAATTTTGGTTCCCCGCATTCATTACTCCCATAATGCATCACTGCCCATGGACACATCCATTTGTTGTCCTCAACCAACCCCCTATAACCCACCATGCTAGTGGTGTCATGTATCAAGCCTTGAATTATAATTGAGTGCCCCTATAGAGAACAGAATTTATCATTTTTAGTTAATAGAATCCAATATGTGTTATTTTAGCCCATAATTTTGGTGTGCCCCATCTTCTGCAAACACAACATCGTGCCCTTTCCATGTATGTGCATGTACAAAGGTTACTGTGCTGATGCTACTTACTTATTTGGGTATATTGTGCTCAGGAGTTGCATGATATTTATAGGGGAGACCATTGATGACTGTCAGCATTCAGGGGCTATGCTGCTTTCCCCAATCCACCAACATTTCTTCTGCTTGTTGCATAGTGTGATTACATACATGAATAGATATGGAATGTAGCTAAAATAATTGCATGTTGTCCCCAGGAAGCAAAAATACTTGCTTTCAGTAAACATTGCATCTAGTGAGGTGTTACCCTCATGTAAACAGCTGATTGTCAGGTTATCAATATCAGATAGAGTTGAGCTGTATTCAGATATACCATTGGAGTAACCAAGCTGCCCAATCAGCTGAGCTTGGTCTGCACAGAGCACATGCCAACCCATAGTCTAGGTCATTATGGAAAGTACCTGGAATCAACTACCTCTAATCTGATATGTGCCACCATGTGCATTGTTGGAATTGTCGGTGTCCAATGTGGCTGCTTCAGTGGCAGTAGATGCCACTGAGGCAACAACTCTGCCGTCACAAGGCAAAAAGCCGTATCTCGGAGTTTTTATGATCATAAAGTTGCTCAGAAAGACAAAAAAGGGGTTTCTCCCATATTGAAGGGTGAAGTTAGCACAGGCAAGGGCAAAAATACACCATTCTGACCGCGTTTACATGGCCAATCCTAAGATAACGTTTTTGAGACGCTTAAACGTAAGGTTTTTAAATTAAGATGCAAAAATGTTTTGCCTTGCGGAAAGAGTCGTCACCCATGGGACAATCCGGCAGGCAAAAAGCCGTATGTGTCAAAAAGCCGTTTCTTGGAGTTTCTCGACTGAGTCATGGGGTGGATTTCGCAGGCAAAATGCTGTATCGCTTAACCCTGCACATATTTTTCATTGCGTGGGGTTAATAATGATTCGAGATATAGGTGAAAATAATGCTTCGGTGTTGAATTGAGAGACAAAAATCGCCGGGCCCGATGACCCGTACCCAACATGGCCCGGCCTGGCCTACCATAAGTTTTGGGAAGTGATAAACACCGAATCTTGTGACCGTTCTCTTCATACAATGCTTTACGTTAGGTAAGGTCACGTCCGGTACCTGCATTTGTTTGCACTTGGGACCCCGAATCCAAGCAGAATGCTGCATTTCGGGCGTGGGGTCTCTTAGTGCATGGGTCTGAAAATATCGCCAGATTGCCAGCTCCAGCGGAAGCTGAGGGTTAACTGAAAGAATGCCTCATACTTATCGAATGTATTGCCAACAGATGTAAACATTAAGCAAATGCAATGACACCGCAGGCAACCTGATAACCATAAAATGTATCACTCACTGCCACTGAGCCTCATCACCTTTCTGCCATCAAGCCCCAGAATGCATCAAACGGAGCCGCCTTCACATGTTCCGCTCCCGAACGGAACACCTAACTGATGCTGATGGAAAAGTCTGGTAACAAGCGGTGTTACAGAAAAAAAAACAGATACACAAACTACATCACAAAACCATACCCAAAATAACAGATCCACAGCCGACGTGCGTTGCAGTATTAGGAGCTTCGAATGGAAGGAGCAGTTATCAAACACGTCCAGGGCCATCAGGAGCCCTGTATGATTCGCTTAGTCGTTCAGCTCCCGAGCGGACGAACCGGTCAGGCTCTCCCAAAAGGCACGCCTCTGTGGCGGCAGCAGTGGGAGGAGCTGCTGCTTCAATGTCTCCAGCTTTGCTCTGTTGACACCGCGCGGACGCATCTTTGCCGCTGGCTGTTCCCGTGGGAAGAATGTCGTTTTTGCTAGGTCGAACGCACGCCAGCTGTTGGATGAGTGGCTTACTTTGGTGAACACCAGGTCCTGGCCACGGCGAACCTGGATCACCTTGCATGAGGCCAGATATGGTCGGCAGTTTTCCTCGGTTAGGAGCTTCAGCTTCTGGGCACTCACGCCACTTGTGATGTTGAGGAAGTCATTAGGCTTCATCTCGATCACCTTCGACGAGTCTTCGATAACGGTTGTAAAGTCCTCCATGTCTGCCACCACTCTACGACGCTTCAGGCTCTTGTTGCAGACCTGGTGGACTGCGTCCGCCGACATCGAAGTGTGGCCCTTTTGGAGGAACTTGAGGGTCACCTGATTCAGCATCTTACCAGGCTTGTTGACGGCCTGCATGAGGCCTGTAATAAGTATCCAATTTTTGTTCTGCCCGGAACAATTATCTAGCCAAATCGTGATGGCCTCCACATCTCGCTGCAGCTCGATGTACCGAACGAAGGCGGAACATACGTCAGCCGCGTCCCGCCCCGCTGTACCCTCATGCCACACGATCGAAACAGCCTTCGGTTCTCGTTTGCCGAGCGGTGCAAACGTCTCGTTGTAAACCACAAGTCGAGACGTGAATATGGCGACTTTGTGCGGGAGCTGTGGCAGAAGGAAGATCCGCATCATATCTGCGGACACGACAAGCTCATTGCCTTCCCACACTCGTTCTGCGTCTTCCTTATAAGCGATCCGCGCCTCGTTTCTGTGCTTGATGTGCTGGATGTGAGCTTGGCAGTCAGGACACGTCCCGTCGTTGTCCCTGCACGTATGCAGTGAATGTGCCGCGCATTCGGCACATTCCTCGTTACCAAGTTTTGTGAACCCTATGTTCATTTCAGCCATGGTTCGACGATATCTTGTTTCTGAGCATATGTTGGTGCCATGCATTTCTTGAAAATGTTTGAAGAGTATGGCTGTATTCAAATCCGGAGGCAGGTACCGCCGCTGCGGAGCGTGCAAATACCTATAATGAGGAGCAACTGGCTTAAATGACATGATGTGATGCTCGAGGATTGTGCTGTCCAATTTGTTTCTTGGGGTCTTCGTTCCTCTGCGATCGATGGGGGCTGCTGGCTGAGAAGTGATACTGGCGAGGACTGGCTTGTCATTGCCGTTCTTAAAGCCCAAAGTTGCCAGGAAGAATATTTTGCATACGGCAACAGCTTCGGTGCCAACCGGGAGATGCCACCGAAGGACTCGTCTTCTTTTGTTTTCTTTTTGCTCATCTCCTGATTTCGACCCGCTGACCCGATCCGTTACGTAGCGACGGTACCACTCACGTCTCGCCGACCACGACAGTGAGTTTACTGCAGTATTGATCTCTTCTCGCACATTTTCCGGAACTCTCCGACCACATTTCAGCTGGCAGGTACCCTCTTTGCAGCCCACTGGCGCTGACAGGAGCAGATGCTTGGTTTTGAAGCCCTCAATTTTGTTTTGAGGAGTTCGTGCCCGTTGTCTTTTTTTAACTTTCGTATGGCCAGCGTCCCGGTCGTGCAAGTCTAGGCCAAAGTCGTGGGCTTCCGGGTCCGGGAGGCCTGCGTCCGGGGCTTGCATGTCTGCGAGGCCAGCGTCCGGGTCTTGCAGGTCTGGGCCAGCGTCGGGGGCTTGCAGATCCGGGAGGCTAGCATACGGGGCTAGGTCTGAGAGGCCAGCGTCTTGGGGTTGCAGGTCTATGAAGTTACTGTCTGTGGCTTGCATGTCTGGGAGGTTAGTGTCCTGTTCGGTATGGATTGGTTCTGAGCGCAATGACACATGTGGACTGGAAGTGACGGCAGGACAGAATTGGGCAGCTTCGTAATGACGTGCGTTTGACGTAGAGATGGGAGCGCTCTGGCTGTCACTGGTGTTGTTTATGGCAGAAAAATCGACCGAATGATTACTATCAAACAATACTGACATGCTACCAGTAAACCAGGACAGGTCACTTGAACCATGGGGGATGTCTGGCGTGGCGCACATCTCAGAGCCCCGCGCAGTCACTGTAACAGTTGCTGGCAGAGTAGCCTCGGCGACCGCTAGAGTGGCGGCGGCGGTATCCGGCAGGGTGGCGGCGGCGGTAACTGGTAGAGTGGTGGCGGTATCCGACAGGGTGGCGGCGGCGGTATCCGGCAGGGTGGCGGCGGCAGTATCCGGCAGGGTGACGGCGGTATCCAGCAGGGTGGCGGCGGTATCCGGCAGGGTGGAGGCGGCGATAACTGGTAGAGTGGCGGCGTTGGCAACCGGTAGCGGGGTCACGCTGGTACCTGGCGGATTGCTGACTCCGGTACGCGATAGTGGGGTTATAGAAGCCGGAAGGGTGGCCAGAGTAGACAGGCTGGCAGCAGTGCTCGATGGAGGGGCCCCGGTAGGCATGCAGGTGGGGACGAGCTGCGTTTTCTCATCAGGGATATCTGAAATGCGAAAACACCAGATGTTCAAGGCTGGATGCTGGTTGACCTCAACCAACCAGTGAACACGAGAGGTTGGGAACAGCTGGCCGGTCGGGGGTGAACGAATGTAAACAAACGCCAGGGGACAGTGGTGTGTGAACTTTTCAAGAACTGTCCGCAAACACCAAACCTCGGATGTGAGAAAATTTATGCCAGTTTTAACAGCTGCGCAACAATCCATTCATGTCATAACATGACTAAAACAAGTGGAGCAATTCGTGTAGTGCGACTTGAAGCATGCTCAAGAATCGCATAGTTTAATACGTACCAGCCTAACTAAGATGTCGTGGGTTCTAGTTCCCCCTTATTGGCTCTCAATAATAGACAAAATCTATTGTGTCTCATACATGATGCGATTTATGTGCACTTTGGCCTCTCCGCAAGTGGACACGCTAACGGTAAGCGGCAATGCTGTGCAAAAGCAACAATACTCTATACGGAATGCTTCTCATGGTTAGTTCATTATGGAGAGAGCGCCAGAGAGAGAGACAGAGACAGAGACAGAGACAGAGACAGAGACAGAGACAGAGACAGAGACAGAGACAGAGACAGAGACAGAGACAGAGACAGAGACAGAGACAGAGAGAGAGAGAGAGAGAGAGAGAGAGAGAGAGAGAGAGAGAGAGAGAGAGAGAGAGAGAGAGAGATATATATATATATATATATATATATATATGAGAATGAAATGAACTACCTAGAAATATGTTTAACGAGCGGGTTTACATTAACAAAACGAATTGGGGCATTGCTATAAACGCGGATACATTGAACTGGATGCAGTTGACATTTCTTCAAGAAAATGTTAGAAACACCAAACGCTGCGTTCCGCATCACCTATTTTTCCAAGTAACCATATCACAGCCATGTGCAAGAGCTGCTTACCGAAAGCCAGGGCAAGTTAAAGACTGAAAACTTATGCATATAGCGAAAGCGCGACACCTGGGCGGGGGGGGGGGGGGGCAACGAGAACGCGGACTGAACCACGAACTTTGAAAATGTATCATTGGACGTACCGGCACTTCCGAAAAAGTGACCATGAATGGTTGTCGCCCCCCCCCCCCCCAACTTGGGAGGAATTCCGCTCCCCCTGGCAGACAGGCTTCGTTCGAATGCAAATGTATCTTAAGCATGTCAAGACTGATGGGTGAATATCAAACAGAATGTTTGTTAGGTGAATAGTATCGTTCATCACTTACCGAATGCCAGACGACGCTTCTTCTTTGCTGCAATCGTCCCGGTCCAGTATTTGCCGTTGTGTCTCAGTCGCACTCTGCCTCCAGCCTCCAGCGTTGACCCAGGCATTAGTCGCAGATCAGAAATAGCAACATAGTGCCATTCCCCGAAAGATGTGTCATCCCAATCTACTCTAACCACTCGTCGTTTTTTCCTCTTCTTTTCGTCCATGGTTGGTTCACTTAGGTCAAATTGGGTCAAATTGAAATATTTAAATTCTGGTTAAAACTCAATCAGACAACTCGTGGCCAAGTTGTTCCGTCTTACGCGGGCTAACCGAATCTGGCTATACGTCAGGTTTCGGAACGAGGAGTAGGCAGTTTATGTGATGAAGCAGAGGCGTAGCCAGGATTTTTACGGCGCGGGGGCGAGGCGATGTTCAGCGATAAATCACGGTGATTTTAACCCTGTGTGAGGAATCATCTTTGCTACTCACAGAAACATCCAGGCCTCGGGGATCCCAGCTTGGGCCCCTTGCCCCCCCCCCCCCCCCGATCCCTGGCTGCGCCTCTGTAATTATTCACGTGCAACCGGCAGCACGCGCAATCGTCACGCAGCCGTAGTACTACTTCTGAGAATACGTGTTTTTTTGCGACGGAAAATGCATTGGTATCGGGAGCGCTTTTGGCAGGCAAAAAGCCGTATGTCCCATTTTGTTCGGATGCGGCTTTTTACCTGACGGAAGACTCCTTTTGCGGACCAAAGCACAGTGAACAAAAAGCCGTATGTGCCCTGTGCAGTAGATACGGCTTTTTGTCTGGCTGAAATCGTACTTGCGGCCTTTTGCCTGCCGTGCATCATTGTCAGTTAGCGCGATGCGGCTTTTTGACAGATCATATACACTTATAATTCGAAATACAAAACGCGCGTAAGTGTATGCTCGCCACCATCAGAGGCGTCTTCTCGAAAGCTTCAAAATGACACCAAAAACGAAAAATCGATGAAAATCGAGTTACGGCTTTTTGCCTTTTGACGGCAGAACTGTCATTGCTGTACAGTGTTGAACATTTTTGTATGTTGATTGTACCATTTTCTGATGATTGGTTTTACAGAGCAAATGTGCCTCCCACTTGCCTGCCTGTCAGCATAAGGATGTGTTTTGCTTTCAGCAATAAACTGCAAAGATGACAGATGCTCGCTATTTCACAACCACCAAAAAGGGTGAAATATTTGAGCTCAAATCAGAGCTCAACAGCGATAAAAAGGAAAAGAAGAGGGAGGCAGTGAAAAAGGTATGCAAACACCCGAGCGTAGTTGACGTTTAAACATCTATGCCTGTTCAACCATTTTCTTTCAACATTGGTGAGTATGATTTTATACATGCATCATCTTGTGGACATGCTGTACACCTTGCTATCTCCCAGAACTTTCCAAGTGTATGGGTTGATTAAGGAGAATAGGTTGGCATTCTCTTTTACTTCATTGTGCCCCACAGGCTGCTTTCATGAATAGGTATGCACCATCCTCTAGTCATGGATTATGTGCTGATTATATGTGGGTACATTATCATTTGTGGGCTTTGCAGGTCTGCAAGACGTGCAAGTGCTTCACAAGATATCGCTGCACATTCAGTGTTCCACACAATGCTCTTTTTCAGGTGATTGCCTCCATGACAGTTGGCAAGGATGTGTCAGCTCTGTTTCCGGATGTGGTCAACTGCATGCAGACAGACAACCTGGAGCTGAAGAAGCTGGTGTACCTCTACTTGATGAACTATGCCAAGAGCCAGCCAGACATGGCCATCATGGCCGTCAACACGTTCGTAAAGGTGCGGGCGTACTGGACCGACTTCGAGGGAAGGGATCTAGTGCAGGTGTGAGGCAGGATGGCTGAGTGGCTGGGACCTTTGGATCACACAAGGGTGAACTGGACGGGATTCCGGCGGGACAGCGACTCTGAGTGCCAATGTGACCGCCGCAGCAGTCGTGCTCCGCAAGAGGGTGCGCCGCGTTCCCTTATGATTAAGCTGGAGAGGAAAGGCGAGAGGATGTCTACCAATGGTAGTCACTCATCTTCTTCCCCTGGCTGTCCGTACCCTAGCGGCTGTATGCGTGCCTGCTTCAGCCATCTGGTTTCGCTGTTGCCGACCCGTCCCGGCCTTTTCTATCAGACTGTGACATTGACTGACGTTTGGCGACGAGCCTCTGGCGCCGACACTGACAGCCAGCTGATGGCCACACAGGACTGCGAGGACAGTAACCCGTTGATCCGGGCGCTGGCGGTGCGCACCATGGGCTGCATCCGCGTCGACAAGATCACCGAGTACCTGTGCGAGCCGCTGCGGAAGTGCCTGATGGACGAGGACCCGTACGTGCGCAAGACGGCCGCCGTGTGCGTGGCCAAGCTGCACGACATCAACGCCTCGCTGGTGGAGGACCAGGGCTTCCTGGACCAGCTGAAGGAGCTGCTCAGCGACTCCAACCCCATGGTGAGCCAGCGGTAGCCGAGGGCGTGCGGATGAGGTCAGGAAGGGCTGATTGGCGTGTGAATGTGATCTGGTGTCTTAACAAGATGAGGGCGACATATGAGTAACCTCTTATGGCTGTGCGGCGACCAGGTCCAGCATGTCCAGGTCCAGCCTGTCTGCCTGGTGACGTGATAGATTGTGCTTGTGTGGTTCAATGCCATTGCTCCATCTGTGAAATGTAGAGCAATGCCTATGAACTTGCCAACTGAGAATTTGAAGGGCCATGACACAGTTGGAGCAGTGGTGTTGGCTCCCTGGTCAAAACCTGCATCAAGTCATTCTTGCTGGTGGGACTGAGCTGAGCTATTGTATATCTAAACATGGATCGTAACGAGCTTGCTATAAGGCACGGGCCTGCCGGCTGCTACAGCGCGCCGGCGCGGACACTGCCGGCTGCCCGGCTCGCTCTCTGCCCGCCTTGCGTGCCCTGCCCCGACATCCAGCGGACATTCGCCAAAACAGCGGTGCGTGACGCCGCCGCTCTGCCGTCCGGCCAGGTGGTGGCGAACGCCGTGGCGGCCCTGACCGAGATCAACGAGACGAGCCGCAGCGGCAACCCGCTGATGGAGATGAACGCACAGACCATCAACAAGCTGCTGACGGCGCTCAACGAGTGCACCGAGTGGGGCCAGGTGTTCATCCTCGACTCGCTCTCCAACTACAACCCGAAGGACGAGCGCGAGGGACAGAGGTGGGCGGACGGGCACGGCGCTGTGCGATGGCGAGCGCTACAGCCGGCGTTGCTTGTCATTGCGCTGTTGTTTAGATATGTGTGTGAGTGCAAGGTGGAGGGCGCGCGTGTTTGTTCGGTGGGCAGCCTCGCCTGTAAATAACGCGGCGTCATGACCGTGAACGTTACAGTAGGCGGTTTCCTAACCGGCCTCTCTTCAGCCCCTGACTGCGCGTGTCCGTTTGTCTCAGACTTCCCCACCGCATCCCACTAACACCCTCACTTTCACCCCTCGTCCTCGCCCCTCGCCCTCACCCTTGCCACCATCCCCTCACCTCGCCCTCGCTCTCACCCTCTTGTCAACACGTCCTCCGTGATCTGTCCGTGTGAGCGGCCCCTTCCAACCCAAAGGCCCTCCGCCACCCGTGTGCGTGTGCGTGTGAGCGCGCGTGCGCGCGCGCGCGCGCGCGCGCAGCACCCCCTTCAGCCCCATATGGCCGCGGCGTCCGATATCAGTGACCGCGTGCCCGGCTGGCGGGTGACACGTCGGCGCGTCGTCGGCAGCATCTGCGAGCGCATCACACCGCGCCTGGCGCACGCCAACGCCGCAGTCGTGCTCTCGGCCGTCAAGGTGCTGATGCGCTTCATGGAGCTGCTGCCGTCCGACTCCGAGTTCGTCACCAACATCACCAAGAAACTGTCGCCGCCGCTGGTGACGCTGCTCAGCTCGGAGCCGGAGGTGAGCCGGGCGGCGCCGGGGCGGGCGGACCGCGCACGGCCGCCGCGCCGCTCGCCGCCTCAGGGCGGCCCGTAAAGCGCCACGTGCGCGGACTCTATGATATCCGCTGAGGTGAAGAAGTGTGGCTTGATTTAGTTCCATGGGAGGGCAGGTGTGTGGATAAGTGTTCCAATGCAAGCGGTTGTGCATGAGGTCCTTCCCATTAAGGAGAGGGGGTGGGGGACCACGAATGAGATCTGGTTGCGGTGACTGATTTCGATATGAGTACATGAGCCCAGTTTTCTTCACAGGGCTGTGGTTTCGTTCGTTTGGCACGTGGCAGAGCCGCACACCTCGGTGCACAGAACGCCCTGTAACGTTATCGCCACGCGTCTGTCGGCGCTCAGGTCCAGTACGTAGCGCTGCGGAACATCAACCTGGTCGTCCAGAAGCGACCCGACATCCTCAAGAACGAGATGAAGGTCTTCTTCGTCAAGTATAACGACCCCATCTACGTGAAGCTGGAGAAGCTGGACATCATGATCCGGCTGGCCAACCAGGGCAACATCGCCCAGGTGCTCTCCGAGCTGAAGGAGTGAGTGCTCATGCTTCTGTTCTTGCTTCGTCAGGTCTTTCTGTTTCCATTTCTATTCGCCTTTTCTCTTTATCAGTTGTTTTCACTTCTTCTGTTCGTCTCGCCTCTCCCGCTATATCTGTATGCCTCACAGCATACAGATGTAGCACTGCGTTGCTGGCTTATCCCCTGCATTATTAGTGGGCCCTCGGACTCGGCCCTCGCCGCGCCCCTGACGCCGCTGGCCGGTCGGCAGGTACGCGACGGAGGTGGACGTCGACTTCGTGCGGAAGGCGGTGCGTGCAATCGGCCGCTGCGCGATAAAGGTGGAGCAGTCTTCGGAGCGCTGCGTCTCTACGCTGCTGGACCTGATCCAGACCAAGGTCAGTCTTCGGAGCGCTGCGTCTCCACGCTGTTGGACCTGATCCAGACCAAGGTCAGTCCTCGGAGCGCTGCGTCTGCACGCTGTTGGACCTGATCCAGACCAAGGTCAGTCCTCGGAGCGCTGCGTCTGCACGCTGTTGGACCTGATCCAGACCAAGGTCAGTCCTCGGAGCGCTGCGTCTCTACGCTGCTGGACCTGATCCAGACCAAGGTCAGTCTTCGGAGCGCTGCGTCTCCACGCTGTTGGACCTGATCCAGACCAAGGTCAGTTCTCGGAGCGCTGCATCTCCTTACTGCTCGAGCTGATCCAGACCAAGGTCAGTCCTCGGAGCGCTGCGTCTCCTTACTGCTCGAGCTGATCCAGACCAAGGTCAGTCCTCGGAGCGCTGCGTCTCCACGCTGTTGGACCTGATCCAGACCAAGGTCAGTCCTCGGAGCGCTGCGTCTCCACGCTGCTGGACCTGATCCAGACTAAGGTCAGTCCTCGGAGCACTGGTCCAGACCAAGGTCGGCCGACCAGGAGCGCAGACCGCGATCAGTGATGGGGCTAACGTGGTGCTGTTGTGATAGTCCTGGTCCGGACCATGACGGAGCTGTTGTCCCTCGGCCCAGGTGAAAATGTGGGTAAAACCACAGTGAATCACGCAGAATGTCGTCATTTTGTCATCACCTTGTAAGAGGTCGTTTTCAGGCGCACATGACGGCCAAACACTGATTTAAGGTTTGATGGAGTATGCAGTGCGTCGCTACATGCTGATCATATCCTATTGTGAATTCGCTTTAAAGTACCTGCAAGGTACGCGCGCGCAATGTATTTTGTGAACTGCATGTTCACCAGTGGTGGTTGCTGCCGTGGTGGCCAAGTTGTCACCGGGAACATCTCACATATCGGGCTTCGTCCGCTCTCAGGTCAACTACGTAGTACAGGAGGCGATCGTGGTGATCAAGGACATCTTCCGCAAGTACCCCAACAAGTATGAGAGCATCATCTCGACGCTGTGCGAGAACCTGGACACGCTCGACGAACCTGAAGCACGGTGAGCGCAGCCCACCGCCGCCTGGGGCGGGCTTTCCTGCTGACCAGCTGCCTAGGGGTGCTAACCACTGCACGTTTGCGTCCACGGTACAGCTAGCACAAGGCTGATTTTGCATTTGTTTTTGCGTTGGGACCGATGGAACGTTTCGAAAGCAGTGAAAAAGCTGGTATCATTGCCCTGCTATCTCGCACTTAGTCTATAAAATTGTTCTCATCCCCCACCCACAATAGCCTCTGCTCCAAGGGCTTGGCTCTGCTCAGCTGCGCGCCCCTCGGCGCTCACTGGTCCCTGGTATATATGCCGTGCTGGCTGTGTGCCGCCTGCTAGTGGAGAGCGTCCGGCGGAGAGGCGGCCGGTGTCGCTGTTGTGGCCCTGACCGGTGGTCTGACGGGACCCGGCCGCTCCGTGCCGCCTCTAGAGCCTCTATGATCTGGATCATCGGCGAGTACGCGGAGAGGATCGACAATGCCGACGAGCTGCTGGACAGCTTCCTGGAAGGGTTCCACGACGAGAACAGCCAGGTGCAGCTGCAGCTGCTCACCGCCATTGTCAAGCTGTTCCTGAAGCGGCCGTCAGATACACAGGAGCTAGTGCAGCAGGTAACTCACTGCTGACTCTGACTCGAGTCAGTCTGAGGGTCAGGCGACGTCGGACCCATGCCACCCGAGTAGATACAGAAGTGGCACATTCTTCGACAATTGGGGGACTGCTTGATGGCTTGTTAGCTTGCAAATGAGGGGTCACGAGTTAACTTGCGAATGAGGTGTCGTAAGGATCAAGGCGCGTCGTCAACTACGTAGGAAATAGCCTCAGCCGAGTCTCGTCTAGCCATTCAGGACTCGGAACAGCTAGGAGTCATGCCATGTGAGCCCTTTGCGAATCCGCACGCGCCATTACCTCCCGGTTCATCGCGACTCCGTACCTGTTGCGCGTCCTCGCTGATTGGGTGTGCTCTCGTGGGAATCCCCTCCCCCCCCCCTCACAGATATGCCACCCAGCTCTTTGCGACCTCGCATCTTTCGTTTTACTTGGTCAATCCGGTGCACCCCTGTGTAACCCTTCCACATGTGGCATGGCTGGTCTTGCGGCATGTCTGACCATGTGATAGTGATATGTCTGACCATGTGAAATGTTGTATGTCTAACCATCGGACACGTCTGGCCATGTGCCATGTGTGAGTGGTGTTGGCGCCGTGGCACCGACCGTGCACCGTCGTCTGAGCTGTCCGGCGGCCGGCAGGTGCTGAGTCTGGCCACCCAGGACTCGGACAACCCGGACCTGCGCGACCGCGGCTTCATCTACTGGCGCCTGCTCTCGACCGACCCGGCCGCCGCCAAGGAGGTGGTGCTGGCTGAGAAGCCGCTCATCTCGGAGGAGACGGACCTGCTGGAGCCGACGCTGCTCGACGAGCTGGTCTGCCACATCTCCAGCCTCGCCTCCGTCTACCACAAGCCGCCCAGCGCGTTTGTCGAGGGTGCGTTCGGCCGTGCCGACGGCTGGGTGTGGGGATGCGGTCATGGAAGTGTGTTCTGCCGCTGCGGCAGGAGTCGGTGGGATTGCCGACTGATGTCGCGTGTGGGCCACCGTTTCGCGCAGTCTGAGCTGCGCCAGCCAGATTAAGGAAACCTGCAGCCAAAAGGGGCTCCGATTAAAAAATAGCGGATTCATGCCTGGACTCGAAAAAAATTGTCTTTTTGAGTGGAAAACGAGCGTTGGATAGAGAGGCTAACTGGCAAACCATTCTGCGCGGGCGCGTTTTCGACTGAGACCGCAGAATGTCGGATACTGCGGCAGCGCACGCCATTCTCGCACGTTCCATGAACCTGCCATGGAACCTGTAGCAGCCCCGCCGCCCGCGTGTGTAGCCTGCGCCTGGCCCAGCGGGCGTGCGTGGCCCGCGTCCCAGCCGGCCGGCGTGACGCTCGCCGCCGTCCCCAGGTCGCAGCGCCGGCTTCCGTCGCGTGCCGCTGAAGCCGGACGGCTCGGCGACGGCGGCCGCGGCGGCCGCGGCCGAGCAGCCGCCCCAGTCGACCGTCATCCCGTCGCAGGACTCGCTGATCGGCGACCTGCTCAGCCTGGACCTGAACCCGCCGATGGCGCAGCCGGCCCCCGGCGCCGCCAGCGTGCCCTCCAACGTCGACCTGCTCGGCGGCGGCCTCGACGCCCTGGTGAGCGCGCCGGCCGGCGGGCGCCGTCGGCGGTCCGGTCAGCCGACCCGGCCGGTCGCGGGTCGGCTTTGTTTGCCCCGTTGCGAAACTGTGCCGTTGCGTTTGCGTGCGTGCTTTTGATGGATCTTGTCCGCACACAATGTCGTATGTAGATGTGCGTAGATGTAAATGTGCGTAGTGTGCGTAGACGTTCATGAATTTTTCTCCTCTGTTTGTCTTTTACATTGTGCACTACAGTGAGGCTTGTCGGATGCCTTCCTGGGGTGGATGTTTCCCTTCGCTGACTATCCTGTTCGGCGTTTACGTGAAACAAATCCAGAGCGATCGCCCCCGCCGCAGTCCTGCCCCCATCCCACGTGCGACGGAAGGCGTCTCGCGGCCGTGGTCGCGCGGCGCGCCTCCGTCGGCGCAGCCCTGAGCCCAGCTGACGTCTGACCGGTCGGCCCGCTGTCCAGGCCGGCGTCGGCGGCCTCTGCTGTCCGTTCGAGGGCCGGCGCCTGTGCCACCTGCGCGACCCTCACTCGCACCGGTGCGCGGCGCCGGCGCCGGTGGCGCCGCCGGTCGGCGAGCCGCCACCCCGCTCCCCGCTGACGGCCGCCGCCGGCGCCGCCACCAACCCCTTCCTGCCGCACCGCTCCAACCCGTTCCTGGACCTGGACTGGGTCAGAGTCGCCGGCACCGCCGGCTGCGGTGGCGCTGTGTGCGTGCCTTCGTGTGGTCTGATGTCGAGCACTGTCGGCCCGTGTCGGTGTGGCGTGGTGCGTGGCTTGTGTGAAAGCAGCTGATTGCAGCAGGGCTATCCCGTGGAAAAGTGCTTTCAAACGAGTATCAACCGTTTCCGATCCGCCCGAAATTTTGCAGATAAAGCAAATTAGTATCAATAATCTTTGAAATAGTAAATTGGCTCGGAATTTAATCAGCCTTGCGCTGTAACCGTTCCCGTCTAATGACTAGTCGCGATCTAGCGGCCGGCCAAGGACGACAGCGGCGATGACGTGGGCGTGTTCGCTGACCGGCGGGCGGGGGGCGTCCGTTACAGCTGGGCGGAGACCCGGCGCCGCCGGCCGCCGCGCCCGCGCCCGGCCTGGGTGCCGCCCCCGCCACCGGCGGTCTGCTCGGCGACATTTTCGGCATCACGCCCACCCCCTCCAACTACATGCCGCCCAAGCAGGTGTGGCTGCCGGCCGCCAAGGGCAAGGGCCTGGAGGTGGCCGGCGCCTTCTGCCGCAGGTGGGTGACGGTGGTGTCGTGCGATCGCTGGTGCGGGGGCAGGGGCGGGCCGGCGTGGAGCGGGGCGGGGCGGGCGGGGCGTACTAACTCGGCCGACGTGGCTGCCCACGCCCGTCGTGGACGCGGCGGCCGACAGCAGGCCAACAGATTCGTCCGGTAGAACGCGCCGGTTTGGTTAAGTGCTTCACTCCGCTGCTCTGGAATGAGTGAGGCCGAAGCCTGATTTGGAACTCGATGTGGGATTCAGTTGACACGCCCAGTCTCTACGCGCCTGTGTCCACGTTCCAACGGCGCCGATCGAGACAGGTGGATTACCGCAGGATCCGGGCCCGAGACAGTCAGTGTCGCTGGAGTGCCGTGGACGCGACCGATCGCAGCCCGGCTGGGAACCGGAGCGGGCTTCCGAATCCGTGCAGGGCCGAAACACTGTTCGTGCTAAGTCCCCCGAACCATAATCCCTGTCGCGTCGTCGTGACACGTCGGCGGACCGCGTCGCGGCACGGCACGGCACGGCACGGCACGGCACGGCACGGCACGGCACGGCGATAGGTTGCTGCCGCTGAGCGCGTCCGAGCCTCGCGCTCATCGCGCACGCTCAGCATCCGCGGCTATCCGCGGCGCGCTCTGGCGGCGCGCCCTGGCGCCGTCGCTGACCGGCGGCCGCCTGCTCCGCCGTCCGCAGGGGCGGCCGCGTCAGCATGGAGATGACGCTCTATAACCGCGCCATGCAGCCGATGAGCGGGTTCGCACTGCAGATGAACAAGAACAGCTTCGGTCTGGTGCCGGCGCAGGCGCTCCAGGTGAGAGCTCTCATCGGTGGCAGCCGGCTGCCGGCCCCTACGCCGGCGCGGTACCCTCGGCACGTGTGGGCAGAGCAGCCCCTCCGGCGGGCCGGCACGAGGCGGGTATCAGCGCGCTTGCGTTCGCAGATGACAAGCTTACGAGGCACCTCGTAACTCGCGGCTTACGACAGGGAAAATAGATTGCACTTGGTGAGTCTGTGGGAGTCCAGTACCCACAGTTCATGGGCACTGAACATGAATTGGAGTTTTATTGGTAACATGATGGGCTTTAGATCCTGTCCCGTCATTGTGGGACCCCGCAGGTTCCAGGCAAGTACCCCTCGGTGAAAGGCATGCGCACCGTTGTTATCTCTGTTTGTTATAGTAGGACATCCCCTGAGGTCCGCACTCCACGGCAGGCACAGTCCTTTGCTGTGGTTGGCAGAGTTCCCTCACGTAACGCACACGTTCTGACCACACGGAGCGTGGTGCCTCGTTCCCAAGCCAACGGCGGCTCGGTTGCGCCCGTCCTGTCGGTTCGCCGGCTGGCGGGAGGGGGGGGGGGGGGAGGGTGACGATCCGGTCCGGTCCGGTCCGGTCCGGTCGGCAGTGGGGGACGGGCGCGGCGTGCCGGCCGACGGCCGTCGAAGCCGACGCTCACCGCCAGCGCTCTCGGTGCCGCAGGTACCCATGCCGGTGCAGCCGAACCAGAGCACGGACGTGTCGCTGCCGCTGGACAACAACGGACCCGTCCAACGGATGGAGCCCATCACCAACCTGCAGGTGGGTGTCGCGGCGGCGCGACCCCGCTGGCCGGCCCGTCACGGGCCCTCGCTCAGCACCGGGCGCGCGGCGCTGCTGCGTGCCGACCGCGCTGTCCGCCGGCCGCTTCGGCCAGAGCGGGTCACGCCGCAGCGCGGCTTCGTGTCGGCTGTCGCGTGCTGCGATCGCCGTGTAAGACGAGGTGTCCCGCCGGGGCCGTGTGTCGGGCAGGGTGACCTCTCGCTGTGTGTGTGGGGGGAGGGGGGGGGGGACGTCACGTGCGATTGTTGGTACATGACCAAAACATCGCTGCGGCAGGATCTCCACTCGTGGTTTCGACGATCAAGGGTCCACGGGCAAAACTCGCGCGATCAAACTTGTACGGACTAACTTTTACGCTACTATCTTCTATCGTACTTCTGTCGTATCGTATGGGGGGCGCATCATATCTATATAGTAACTTCTATCGTTGGAAATGGCATACGACCCATTTTCTGCGAACAAAACAGCTACCCGCGAAGTAGGTGTAGACGAACCTTTTGCGCCGTGACCACTTTACCACAAACCTGCTATGGACGGAACGTTAACACGACACTACTTCTATGACGACAAACTCCACGCGATAAAGCTGACACCGACAAAACTCTGCCACTGCAGAACTTAAACGTCCACGCGATGTTCCACCAAGACGCTCACTGACGCGCCCACGCGTCAGTGTCTTCGCTATCAGAAGCCACCCTCAGCACGATTAATCAACGGGCCCCCATGCACACCATCACGTGGAGCCGGCTCAGTGGCAGGCGGCTGAGGAGTACACGAGAATTATGCCGATCACGGCTCACCATACCTTGGCATCACAACCGTATACAGAGACTGGAAAGGTCAGACCTAAGTACTTTCCCTCTAGTTAGAATTACATAGCGCTGGCGTAAGTCTAGGATGTAGACAAGCCTTGATTGGCGTCGAAATCAGTGGGGCCCCATCCCTGCAACCCTTTCGCAGAAAATGATCCCAAGCGACTTGAAAGTGCCTCTGCCGCCTGGAAGTTTTGTCCTCAGGCGTTGTAAGGCGAAGGAGCCATCTTGCGCGGACGGTCTGCCGCTGGACCCGTGACGTGAAAGATCGGTGGACGGCAGTTCAGTTTCACGTCCGTGGCCGGCAGTTTGTACGTGAAGCCAGCGGCGCGTCCAGAGGCGTGGGCTAACACGCCGTTGCTAGCGCGCCGTTCCCTCGGCGGCCACGGATCCGTCGCCGGGCGGTGGGTGCCGCCTCCTCAGAGCGGCTACTTCGCGACCACCAGAAATGTTCACGTCCGGGGCGCGTGCGCACATCAGGGGTGCCGTCGCCGCGCCCGAGGATGCTCACGCTGCCGACCCGTGCCGCCAGGTGGCCATCAAGAACAACATCGACGTGCTGTACTTCGCCTGTCTGGTGCCAGCGCACGTCTTCTTCGGCGAGGACGGCCTGATGGACAAGCGTGTCTTCCTGGCTACCTGGAAGGAGATCCCGGCTCAGAACGAGATGCAGTTCACCATCGCCAACCTGGTGATGTCGGCCGGTACGGGTCCACCGTCCGCGCTGACTTCGACCTCTCTCCCTGACTGACAGCGTGTCACGCCGGGCACGGCTCGTGCAGATGACTCGCCCCCGACCGACAGCGTACGGCTCACCTCGAGCCCTCCCCCCGACTGACAGCGTGTCATGCCGGGCACGGCTCGTGCAGATGGCTCGCCCCCCGATCTACAGCGCGCGGCTCACCTCGACCCCTCCCCCAACTAACAGCGTGTCACGCCGGGCACGGCTCATGCAGATGGCTCGCCCCCGACCTACAGCGCGCTCACCTCGACCCCTCCCCCCGACCGACAGCGTGTCATGCCGGTATGGCTCATGTATATGGCTCACCCCCGACCGGCGGCGACTCGGACCAGAAGAGGGACGAGTGGAGGAAGCTGTAGTCGGCCGCCTGGGATGCACTTTACTATCGGCAATGTGTGAAACAATGGTAGATCACGACAATCAGTCAGCTGATGATTTTGATCGGCAGACGCCATCTCGGCGAAGCTCCAGAAGGAGAACGTGTTTACCATCGCCAAGCGGAACGTTGAGGGTCAGGACATGCTGTACCTGTCCATCAAGTTCATCAACGGGCTGTGGGCGCTGCTGGAGATTAAGGTGGCGCCGGGCTCGTCCAACATCACGGTGAGTGCTGGCCGCCGGACTCGTCCAACATCACGGTGAGTGCTGGCCGCCGGGCTCGTCCAACATCACGGTGAGTGCTGGTCGCCGGACTCGTCCAACATCACGGTGAGTGCTGGTCGCCGGACTCGTCCAACATCACGGTGAGTGCTGGTCGCCGGGCTCGTCCAACATCACGGTGAGTGCTGGCCGCCGGACTCGTCCAACATCACGGTGAGTGCTGGCCGCCGGACTCGTCCAACATCACGGTGAGTGCTGGGGGGTCGCCGGACTCGTCCAACATCACGGTGAGTGCTGGCCGCCGGACTCGTCCAACATCACGGTGAGTGCTGGCCGCCGGACTCGTCCAACATCACGGTGAGTGCTGGCCGCCGGACTCGTCCAACATCACGGTGAGTGCTGGTCGCCGGACTCGTCCAACATCACGGTGAGTGCTGACCGCCGGACTCGTCCAACATCACGGTGAGTGCTGGCCGCCGGGCTCGTCCAACATCACGGTGAGTGCTGGTCGCCGGGCTCGTCCAACATCACGGTGAGTGCTGGCCGCCGGACTCGTCCAACATCACGGTGAGTGCTGGCCGCCGGACTCGTCCAACATCACGGTGAGTGCTGGCCGCCGGGCTCGTCCAACATCACGGTGAGTGCTGACCGCCGGTGGCCGGACGAGCTCGGCCGGTGCCGGTGACGCCGCTGCTGATTGAACCGCGAGTGTGGCCGCCGCGTGTCATCGGTTCAGCTCCGGCTCCCGCGGTATTTACGCCTATGGGTGCGCAGGTGTTCCCTGCCGTTTGTGTTAATGGGAGCGAGTGTAGCTGTGTCCTGCTGCAGCTCAGGTGCTGTGCTGTAATGATGGCTGCGCTTGAGGTACCACGTCACTACGTTCCTGCCCCCCCCCCCCCCCCCCCCCGCTCTCCCGAGGTGTGCTGACCCCGGTCGTGTGGCTGTCTCTCCAGCTGGCTATCAAGTGCCGCACCACGGAGGTGGTCTCGGACATCAGCGCCAGCATCGAGGCCATTCTGCGGGCCTGAGCAGCTCTCCGTCTCCCGATCCCGCCGGCTGGAGCCACGGCCGGCCCTCCGGTCCTGCCGCCGGCCGGCGCGGCGTCGGATCGTCCGGTGTTGCGCGCTACGGCGGCTCGCGGTCCCGTGGTACGAAGATCTTGAACTGTGTGGGCTTCAAGTCCTGCGTGTCGATCATTCCTCCGTGAGCTCCAATTCTGAAAGGCAAGCGAATGTATGACCCTAGAAGTGGAGGATCTTTCGTCAAGTGTGCCACGTGTCGTACTGAATGTTGGCCCGTTGAATTGACTGATGTGAAAGACTTCCTGCTGCGACGACTGACCGTGAAGTCAGTCCACGTGCGGTTTTTATTTTGCTTCGTATTAAAACATCTGTGAAGATCACTTAATGTTTAGTCTCACGCGTGCAACGGGCTGAAGCTACGTGGAACGTTATTCGGTGTATAAGTTTGTTATCAAGTGATGCCGGTGTATTCTAGTGGATGTATTCGCTTTGTCGCACGGCAGCGGTGGGGTAGTCACGCTTCTTACAATGCTGTCGCCGGCGTATCCGGTGGGCGTGTTGCGGCGGGGGCGAATGCCAGTACCCGAGCTATCCTGCCCTCGGTGGAACCCGGCCACGCGCCGACGGCGTGGCGGCCCGACAGTTGCTCCGTGCATGTCGTTCTTGATAGTCTGCCGTCGACGCCCCGTAATAAAACACGTAATAAAGCAGCCTGTACACTGGAGGCGACGTGGCGTGGGAGCTCGTCGACCCCGCCCAGCCCGAAGGTGGGCCCGTGGAACAGACCACCGCCGTGGCTCCTGGCCCGCGGACCGGAAGGTGGCGTGGCGCGGTGTCGGCGGCCGGCTCCGCGCCGCAGACTTCCCGCGGCTGGTGTCGCTCGGTTTACGTAGTACGATTTGGCATGCTGGGTGTTGTCCGATGCGACAGCTTACGCCATCCACATCAGACGCCAAAAATACTCTACTTTCATCACCGTACAATGCGTTCTAGTTTTAGCGTGCTGCTGATGGCCAGATGTACTAAACTAGCGAGCCCGAGCTATAGTTTGTTGCCCTATTGGTTGCGATTGTTATCAGGCAGCGTGTCGGACGAAACCAACAACCACTAACACCAACAGCAACACCCACTGATCATGGGGCGAACGTACCTCTGTTCCGTAGCCTCTCGACAGTAGAGGCTACAGAACGTGAACATGAACATGAACAACAGAACCGTAGCCTCTCGACATGCCCCATACGGGCATGTCTGACACGCCCCCACACCAGGGCTCTCCGTCGAGCACTTATGCCCGGATCCTCGGCAGAGACACAGCAGCAGCGCGAGCGTATTGCAGGGTCAACGCATATGATGTGTGGCTCGGTCGGACAACCTCAGCGGGGACGTCCTTGCCGCCGCTTACCGCACGTGCGGCGCGCGACACGGCGGCTTTTTCGAGCCACACCGGCGGTGGGCACGCCGCAGTGCCCGAGCTGCGCCAGGGTCGGCGCAGACTGGGGCAGGGCTTCCCGCTCGGCCCGCACGTGCGGTACGCGACACGGCAGCTTCCATCGAGCCACGCCGGCGGTGGGCACGCCGCAGTGCCCGACCTGCGTCAGGGTCGGTGCAGACCGGGACAGGGCTTCCCGCTCGGCCCGCACCGAATCACGCGGCGGCGCGCCGCGGCGTGTGCCAACACCGCTGCGAAGCGGGGTGTCGCGCGCCGGTGAGAACTCCCCCGCGATCGCCGCCGCCGCGTCCTTCTGGTCCGAGCCGGGGCGACGCGAGTCATCAGATGACGTAACGTCTTGCAGAGCGGCACCGAGCGGCGGCCGGCAGCGCGGCCACGTGCGGTGCGGCGGTTGTGCGCGCTCTCGGCCGCCGCCGCAGGAGTGGCCGGCCGCACGCGATGCGCTCTGCGTTACCTCACCGGGGCGTGAGCTGCATGTTGCGCTGGGCGCCTGCAGTCCCACGCCCGTGGACCCGCGCCCGGAGAAATGGCGCTGGGTCCACGGACGGTTCCGGCGGGTGGCGACGGTTTCCCGTGACCTGTTTGACAGCGAATTGTCTCAAACTTGTTGTCTTGCTCGGGGTTGCGGTGCACATGAGGCAGTTTTGGTCTGTCGGCCTCTCCGTGGGGATTTGGCAAACGGTGTTTGCTGAGGCGTGCACTAAGGTACACAGCGCGAGCAGGTAACCAGCTGTGTGAATATTCAGCTATTCCAAACTGCACGCAATCACGACATGGCGTCATGATTCCGTGCTTAAATCATCCGAAAATGTGTTTGCACCGCAAGAGCGCGGTAGATTGTCCGGGATTGCCGAGCTGAAAGGTGTTTCTCTCCATGTATCACCGTAAGCCAGACCCTTTTCCCCGAATGTTACCGAGGCTCAAGCCTCCCCAAGCCGCGAAAGTACCCACGCCTTTGCATGGCTATGTCTGTACAAACTAGAAACATTCGTAGAAGTCAGCCCTGGTCAAAACGGTACCATGAGAGGAACGACGCCGATATTTTGGCGTCTGATACGAAAAGGCACGAATGCGTATCATATTTAAACTATGACGACCGTGAGGTACTACCAACATTCTCCGAGCCTCGCGAACATTCCAGGAATGCGGGTTCTCACGTCCCAGCACCCAACGCACTGTTACGGGCTTCCCGAAACACTGACGGCTGAATTAAATGTTTCGAGGACTGGGGCCCAGCGTCAGGATACAAGAGACTGCAAGTCACAGCGCATGCAAAGCTATAAGACGTGCATAACATGGCACGCCTAAGCAAACCAGATATCATGGTGACGTTTGTGTCCTCAGCCTCTGACGAAGGTTACAAATGGTTAACGATTCTAAGAGCGTAATATCCACGTCGTCTTCAGCTGTTGTCACAATTTACATCACTGAGTTGGAACTTATTGAGCTATGCTCCATTGTTGATTGTTGATTACCACGTGTTCTTTAATGGTATGGCCACCTCTCGTAAGCGTTTCATGGTTCACGTGTCTTTGCTTTCCAATTGTTTCTTTTTAGGAACCTGGCCTGATGTTTTTCACTCGTGATCACGAACAGATCCTCAAATTTCGAGTACTTTCAATACACTACTAATATTTGCACTATAACGTTGTTTAACCAGTATATTGTAATATATTTCAGGTCAATAGCTCAGCATAATAAATCTAAACTCATGATAAGTGAGCTGTGTCAGCTCTCGTGTGGCATAACACGCCGTGCTCTTTATCCGTTGATCGTAAAACAATAAGCCGCAAACCGAAAAGTCGTTATCAAGTAAAAACAGCGGTGCTACCAATGGTTCAGAGGTTCAGGTACCCGTGTCAGTGATAGGTCCGCTGGATCCATCCGTATACCTCAACTGCCGCACACCTCAGCCGCTCAACTTGTCCATAAATTACCTTCTGTATGGAGGGAGAGAAGCCTCTTGATAGAGCGTAACGGAAGCACAGCGGAAGGAGGGGCAGAGGACAGCGCAACGCTACGCTAAGTGTGTCTGTGATTCATGCCAAAACTAATCAAAAGCAAATAGAACTTTAACGCCATGATACACTGTAGGCTTTCTCCACTAGCGTGAGCGGGGGGAGACAGCGGGAGGGGCACGTGCCCCTGTTGGCTTTAAAAGGCCCCTTCGGGCCGCTCGGAACCTACGATTAAAAGCCCGAAGGACCCGAAAGACTAGCTGGATGGCTCATCCAGGGGCCCCGGCACGTAGGGCCGGGCACTCCAGTGCCAGCCAGGGGATCCTGCACGCTGATCAGGGGCTCGCTGAGTCAATAAGGGCCTGTACTTCGATTGGACACCACCAGTAGCGCACTGTCGGCTTCGTGGCGGCATGGGTCAAGGGCCCATTTCCCAAGTTTTCGCAAGGCCTGATCAAGCGATTTACATTGCTCGGGGCCCCACAGCGCTTAACAGGGACCCTGTGTTGTCAAGGTGCCCCGAGTCGGCTAGAGGCGGTGTTCGAGGAGGCTCGAAGAGCCTCCAGGGCCCACCGTGTCCGACGATCATGGGCCCGATTGGAGGGTCTAAGGGCATAAAGGGCTGGTTAGAGTCCAATTCGAGGGTCCCGTCTTGCGAAAACGGAACCTCCAATGTCAGTCAGGGGCCCTTTTCGCTGATCGAGAACCCCTGAGTCGGTACGCGCCTTTATGTCGGTCAGGTACCACGATACCAAACAGTCGACTCCGTGTGGATATGAGAATGAAGGCTTATTTTTCAATCATCTATAAAGCCGGGACAAGTGATTTACACTGGTCGGAGGCCTTATATTTGTCAGGGCCACACAGCGCCTAATAGAGGGCCCTGAGCTCGTCAAGGGCCCCAAGCCGACCAAGGGAAGTATTGAATGAGGCCCGAAACGGGGCCCGGACGGCCCGCCGGAACCGACGATCAAAGGCCCAGCTGGAGGGTATAAGGACTGACTACAGGTCACATAAAGAATCGCTGCCCGCAGGGTCGTGACCTGAGATATCAGTCAGAGGTCCCATTGCACCACTCGAAGAATCCGTGAGACAATGCGGATGTGTAAGTCGGTCAGAGACCACGAACACCGAACAGTCGGCTCCATGTCCGCCTGAACCATTGAGACCCATTTCCCAAGCAGAGACGAGGCCGAGGTCCGTGATGTGCAGCGTTCGGTGTCCCCGACATAATGAGGGACTCCTGTGTCTGATAGGGGCTACAATGCCGAGCAGGCGTTTTGTGGCGGCAAGTGTCCCTGAGTTGGAGCGGTGCTTGACGGACCCGAAGAGGGGTCGAAAAGTCTCTCGAGACCAAAGGTCAGGGGCCCGATGGGATGGCTGGATGGTCCGAAGGGCTGGTTTATGACCACAGGGGCCATGATCTCAAATGTCAATCAGATGACCTGTTGCACCGATAGAGACCTCTGAGACAGAGAGTTCGTCTATGTCGGCCAGAAATCACGAACAACGAACAGTCAGCTTCGTGTTGGTCTGGGCTCTGGGGCCCATTTCCCAAACAGAGTCAAAGCCGGGCCCGCGATTTACATTGGTCGGGCTGCTGTATCTTTCAGGGACCACAGTGTTCAACAGGGCATTCTGCGTCAACAAGGGGCCTCGAATCGGTTAAGGGAAGATTTGTCCAGCAGGGACAGGGACGGGAGCCTGAATGGCAGAGAATCTCTTACGTTGGCCGCGGCCCTCTGGCAATCGCAGGAAACGTACAAGCTGATGATGGATTGTCACATTGAGGAAATAGAAGGGTCCTGTGCCAGTCAGGGCCCTCAGTACCGAATGGTAGGCCCTCCAGCCCTATTCGAGCATGACCCGTTGATGATGATGATTGGGGTTTTAGGGCGCGTCGACTTCTAGGGTCATTTTACGCTCCAGCATGGCCCGTTAAGTCCATCTGGAGTCGATGTGTTTGACCACCTACGGCGAGCAGGGATGTTTAATGACCGGTCGTGCGTCGATCCGGGGTCAACCGCGCGGGTCAGAAGGCCTCCCGCATCAGAGAACGGACCAATGTAATATGATGTGTCCCATTAAGGGCCTCCGGATCGACCAGGGGATGCCACCCCGTGTCGCCAGAATGAAGGCCGGAAAACGCACCGCGTTGGGAAGAATGACCCTTCAGCCCTAGACCGAGAACACTAACGTACCCAGTATTTTTTGGCCCCTTTAGCGGAAAGAAATAAGGGGTCTCATTGGTGTTGAATGGAGTGGGTCGAAACGAGTGCAAAACACACAAAGCTATCTCA